CACTAAGCTCGTGGCACTAAGAGTATTTTATCATGATGAAGCTTCTTATTAAGAAACCTTATTAAAGGTTGCTGTACACCAATCATTTTTTAACAATGCTTTAGAAAATAAGTAAAATTTCAATCCGAAACTTTGGGGAAATAAGAATTTCTAATAATAGAAATTTATAAAAGACGCTCAAATCTCAAGTGACACTTATTAATTTTCATACTTCCTCTTCTCATTCTCCTTGCATTAGTAAAGTTTACAATTTGTAATAAATTTTCGTGATTTATGGCTATAGAAAATTTTCCAACAGCACTTCGACATCTTTTATTATTATAGATTTTTTTTAACATGCATTGAATAGATGATTTCTGACACCAAAGTTCAATTTTCATTTGCTGATTATTTGTAAAAGTCAGTTCTATCTATAATTACATTCCAATCAATAATATATTAATTTTTGCTATAAAATTTTAAATGAATGATGATGAAAAATTTGCCTTTCATTTTTTTTTTCTGTACAAAATGAATGAAATTTGAGTTTTTGAAGGACAGCGTTAAATAATACTTTAAATATCATTCATGTAGTAATCAAACGAAAACTTATTTACATAGCAAGAATTTCTTGATTTTCATCTCTGGTTTATCGAACATATACAAAGAGAATATGAGAAATTAAGAAGGAGAAGATTGATCCTCAAGAGGATACAAATTTGAATGATATGCGATGAGAATTGGCAACAATGTTTTATGATAAAACCAAATAAAAGCTGAGAAATCTCTTTTGGCTGCTTATTTGATAATAAATTTCATATCACACATACGTGGTACTTGTTTAAACATAAATAAAGTGCAGGAAGAAATCCCCACACATTTGTATGGCGCTGTCATATACAAAATAAATAAATAGAAGAATCTTATATTCTCAATCAAGGTGCTTGTGTATTAAATTTCATTTGTATGAAAGGAAAAAGAAGAAGCAACGAAGTATCATCGGAATTTGTCACTGTATAAATTTACTGGTGTATTGTATATTTGTTTATATATATTTATATGAAAAAATATTGCACATCTCCATTTATGAAAAACATGCAGAATTTAACTAAACTTAAGCGTCTTTCTTACTTACAAATTTTTGGAATATGCTCATTAAAATCTCATTCACAAACTTTCATATTTGGGAATGAGACAAAATACATTCAAAATTTAAATTAAAAGAAATGATTTCTTCTCTCTTTTTCTTGTGGGCAACAAGAATGTAAGAACAAAATAACATGACTAAAAGAACTGCAAAAATGTAACATTTTCTTAAGAAATGTGATAATGTTCATGTTTTGTGATGAACCAAGTAAAAGTAATATAACATATGTTGAGCATTTCCAAGAGCAATAAAATGATGGGAGATATTAAGTCTTCATGAAGGTCAGGTTTATGTAAATTTTGTTTAATATTTAGTAAAAATGACAAATGAAGAAATTAGTTCAACATGTTCGTCCCAAATATACATAGGTTGAATAATAAATCTAAATCTCTTAGTGACAAGCAAATAATTTTTATGACTATAGTCTATAAAATCCAGCATGAATTTAAAGTTAAAGCACATGAAGCTTTAAGTTTTTGTATACTTATGATTTACAGTAAGCTATTATTTTATTGCAATTTTTCGATTTGTTAATTTCATATAAAATAATAGAAAATTCTGGCAATCAGCTAAATATAAATAAATGTAGCGAATATGAAGCATAAAAATCATAAATGATGAGGAACTTTTATGGAGAGAATCTTCATTTTTTTTCGCACAAATCTTTCTCAAGCGGACTCTCAAAATATAAAAATCTATCGATGAAAATGTTAAGACACAATTTAATTAAGTGCTTAATTTATGGTAAATTTTTGCATCTTCTTTTCAAGTTTCTTTATCTCTTTCTTAAAAAAACCAGAGTTTTTGACATAATAAAACGCGCAAAATATATTATATTGAATCGTTTAAACTAGAATAATATAAAGGAGATGGAAAATAATGATAAGGAAAAAAGAATTGAGACGCAATTTGATCCGTCACCATCATTATATTTATTTTCATTTGGAAAAGCACAGGAATGTAGCCAATTTTCTCATGGGAGGACTGAAGATACGTGAGGCACTTTGACTGCTCATTCATTCATTCATACTGATTATCTTGACAGAATGAAGAGTGATAGATAAATCAATAATGGAAGTGTATTTAAGAATGAACAGATAATCCACTATGTTTAATTCTTTTTAGGAAAAAAAGTGTTGCGTTTTAGAAGAAAATAAATATTTCCTCTTTAAATCAATCATTTAAACTCCAATTAATTTAAAACCTGTCATATTTTTTTATATGTATAATTTATGAATGGTTTTTTAAAATAAATTTTCTTCATAAATAAATGCATAATTCATATACAATCAAATGCGCTCAAATCATTGTCGGCTTATCATGTATTCACAACTGAGGTAACATTTGTTTTCGTTCATGTGCATAAAAGGCATACGGCAGGAAAAATGAAAGATACAAAAATTAGCTAAGGAAAAAAGTTTCTATAACGATTATCCTGCTGTGATCGTTGACAACTCAATGATGATGATAATGATGTCGATGGAGGTGGTAGAAAAATCTCCTAAGAAGTTTCGTTATGAAATTGGTAAACTCCACAGGCTTCTACATTGGAAGAGAAAAAAGGCAATATATAAAAAGGAGGAAAAATTTATCTCCAATTTTTTCAATTACCGACTTTTTCTTTCGTCTTTATTTTCTCTTAGAAGTTCTAATGCTTTACGTAATGAAGCACAAGGGAAAAATCAATCGACTTCCAACGAGTAACTTGACGTACTTCATGATCCCAATAAAATGGTTGCAAATTTTTCATAAATTACGCAATAAATATACATCAATTTTCATCTACATTACTGATATACACAACAAAAATTTCCTTTCTACACAATTTTCATGTCCCCCACCCAAGACATCACTTTTCTCAGAAGGACATTGTAAAGAAATTGATGAATGACGCAAATATATGCATGTTTTATACACAGTTTTCTAGTTAGTTCTAAGATTATACAACATCCCTTTTTATAATTGAAAAGAAAATTAAAAAAAAAATATGTTAAAAAGAAAATCAATGAGCTCAAATTAAACTTAATCAAAATCATGGCAATTAAGAATGAAAAGTTTTAAATTATTAAAATCCCATTTAAACTTTGTCTATTTTTTTAAGTTTTCCTTCTAAAATTTTGTATTTCTTTTCTTTAATTTATTTCTTTTGTCATTGATTTGGGTCCGACAAAGATGTAAAATTTTAAAAACTATCCATTCCTTAAAATATATTTGAAGCCAGATGTTCTCCATTTTAGACTCACAATCCACAAGATATTTTCAAATTTTATGAATAAATAATAGAGTAGAAAGTTTCTAAGGACGCGTGTTGAATACATAAAAATTTTTTTCCTTTCCTACACTATGTTGATCCGCAAAGAAACCTATTAAATTGAAATAAAATTTTAATGTTTTTCTTCATTTTTGTTAGTTGATTTAAAGCTTTTTGACCAAATTTAAGGCAAAGAAAATGAAGAAGCTCTGTTGCTACAGCAACTGTTGATGAGAAAGATCAAATAAAGTTTCTCATATTTCATTATGAAAAACGCAACCAACCTTATACAAAAAAAAAAAATCTGAAATCTGCATGTATGTTAAAATATTTATATTTTGAAAAACCTGAAAACTGTTGTAAATTAATTCCGTTTAAATTTAGTCATAGAAAAATTCATAAAGATTAATTGAAAACTGCTGAATATCATAAAATTTCTCAAAAATCGATTTTTATTGCTTTAAGCATCTGTTTCTTTAAATAAATTGATGAATTTTAAAAGCAGCAAATTAAATTTAAGCTCAAGATCACAGAATCTGCTTATTCGACAAAAAATGATGAATGTAAATTGTGTGCTGCAGGAGTGATCCTTAAAAAAGGTTTTCTTTTTAATATGATGAAATGTGCACATATTCAATAGAAGACAACACAATTCAATGTTAACAAAAAAAATTATTTATTTCTTTTTTCTTCTCATTTGTCTACCAACTCACTCCACTTCACATTGGAACAAAATTGATTCCTATTGAGAATTTTCATTTCATTTATTCTTCTTATTATTCGCTCTAATGTCGAATATGATTTTATGGAAATCAATGATCAATAATATTGCTATGAAACCATACATATGAATGTAATTTTTTGTCCTGCATTCATATGCTTCTATTATTATCTGTGTGATTTTATGCTTACGCAACGAGAAGAGCATGAAAATGATTATTTTACTCGGATATGTTGCTTGGTTCTTATTTGAATAAGAAAACAATTTATTTATGCATATTTTTCAATGACTGTGAAGAATCTTGAATAATCAAAAGTCTGTGTAGAAAATGCAAGGAAATTGAAACATTTATCAGATTAATTTGTGCTTCTTATAGTGTATCAAAACACAGCAAAATTCCAAATTTTAAATTTTTTTGTTCTCATATAAAAATCACCAAATTGTGTACATCACTTAATGAATTGTGTTAAGTTCGCTCCTAAGTTGAATTTTATTTTAACAACAAAAGTTTGCGATCTGTGAAACCAAAAGTAATTCTTGGAACCTTATAATAAATAAATAATTTTAATTCTTAAAATGCTTGGCCACAAAACCTACCAACGCACATCAATAAAACTTTTTCTCTCCTATAAAAATAATACTGTGGACTACTAATTCGAAATGGAAATGAACAACTCTTGCATGTCTCTATAACATTCTCTCTTCTAGTTTATTTTATGTCTTTTTGTGTGCCAATGGAGCAGCAAACAAATAAATAAAAATTCTTGTTTATCTTTTCCCTCGTTTCATTTACTTTTTCCGTCTTTCTCTTCTCTTCCTGATACATACAAAATGATACAAATACCTTAAAAAATATATCACAACACAAAATAACACAAAAAAAAATTGTTTTATATATTCAGAAATGGTCGAGAAGCACGTAATCGGGCTGAAAAGCATCGTCGTGATAAGCTTAATGGATCAATTCAAGAGCTTTCGACTATGGTGCCACATGTCGCTGAGTCACCAAGAAGAGTTGATAAAACTGCTGTTCTTAGATTTTCCGCTCATGGACTGCGAATTGATTATGGTGAGTATAAAAATTAAATTTAAATGGAATTTAACAATGCTTACAACTTTTATATTGAAATTTAATATGAATGAAAATGAGAATTCCAAAAATCATGGTAATTTTTAATGCACCAGAACTTTAGTAACGATTGACATATGATTCTCGTCGTTTTATTTGACTGCAGTAAATGTTTCGGTTTTTTTGTCAATTCTAACGCCATGACCGACGTCATTTTTCTCTCAACAGTGAGCGTCTTTTATAGAGAACAAAATTTTTTGCGCATCAAGCGAATCAAATATTTTCTCTTTTACAGCTTCTCTTTAATATGTCAATGAGACTCTGTAGAGTTTAGGCAGAACTTTATTTTAAATAGAAAATAAGTTAAAAAAACAAAAAAAATTTGCCTTAGTATTTCATATTTTTATAATAAATTTTATCAAAAACGAAAATCGTATTAGAATTTTGTCAAAATATTATTTGATATGAGAAATGAGAAGCTTTAATCAACAAAAAATAATGAAGGCATTTTCAATTTTCTTCTCATCAATTCAAAAATAATTTATAAGAATTTTTCATTCATTTGACTTTATTTTTTATATTTGATTTCTTCCATTTTTTTATCCTGTAACACACGTTGATGACATAATGATTTGGGAGTCAAAATTCGTTTTAGTCTCATTAGCTTAATAATTTTCATAAACTTACATTTTTGGATTAAAAGCCAATATTGAATAAAATAGATTCCAATTGATTCTCACTAAAAGTTGATCTAATCTATCGAGTCAAAAAAAAAACATTTTGTTTTCATTTTGTGAGGTCCTTGAATAATAAACAAATCAATAATCAATACATTTCTAATAATAATATGCTGTTCAATAAATTATGAACTCAATTTGAATTATTTTCAAGGATACCGAATTTTAATTTTTAATTCTTTGAACTCAGAAATGTTTAAAACTAAAGTTTTCTAAAGTTCTAGTGAAAAAGGGTTCTTTTAAAAGTTTTTAATGAATGATGACGGTGGAATTTTTACTAAATAATAACAATCTTACAAACCATTAGTGCTGGAAATCTTGAAAGATCTTTTTCCAACTTACAATCATTACTTTTTATTTTTGAGTTTAATTAAATTATATTAGGAGTCGCTTGAATATTACTTAATGCTTGTTATGCTACATTTGAGAAGTTTTATCAAGTTTCATTCAAATATTAAAGAAAATTGAATAGAAATGACAAAAAAGGCACTTACCAATAAACTAAGCGCAACGAATTAAATTATATGTTTTATTGTGAAAAGTCTTTAGGAATTAATATTATTTTTGATAGGAGCTATCGAATAACTACTGCTTCCAAAAGGTGATAAAATCTAAAAAATGAAATAAAATTACTACCAATAATTCATCGGATATCTTTATCACAAATAAATGAAAATTTTTTAATGAAATTAATTATGTAAATTTGACATAATTAATACTAAATTAAGAAAAGCTTTAAATAATTAAATCTCAAAGGTGGTTGAAAGATGCCAAAAATTAGATTTCATATTCACATTTTTAAATTTAATTATCTTATTCTCTTTCATATTTTAATTTTTTTTTTCTTATTTCTAGTTTTCGGACAAGATAAAAATAATCGATATCTCATCAATCCTAAATCAACTGAAGGGTTAATGAAGCTCTTGGACACATTTTTGCTCACGATAACATGCCGAGGCAATATAGTTTTAGTTTCCAGTAGTGTCGAACAATATCTGGGTCATTGTAGGGTAAGCAGAAAATTCATTCGTAATAAAAATGCAATTTTACCGTGATTTGCGCTTTCGTTTTTTCAATCATTTAAAGTAAACGAAGTGAAAAGAAAAATTTATAATTTAAACTGCACATATGAAAAAGAATCCGAAAGTTTTAACGAAAGATTCGTATTTTTGACTATTATGAAGAATGATGTGAAATAAAATTAGTAGTAGACATGTTCACCTAAACTGCCTTCATTTAGCAAGTAGGAATTTCATATGTGTTTGTAGTGATGAAAATTTTTGAAGCTAGACATAAAAATTATTATAGTAAGCAAATTATTTTTCTATACAGTTCCAATGAACTCTATTTGTTGTATAAACAAAGTTGTTTTTGAAAATGATTTTAAGTTTTTGAACCTTTGTCAATAGCTAGGAAATATTTTAAGCTTAAATTTAGGTAAACAGTAAATGCTCGTTGTTTTTTTTTAACTTTAAATCTTCGAACAAAAAGACAAGATTCAAATTAGAATAGAATTTTTTTTAAAAATATCACTTTCAAGTTTATAAAAAAAACCTTACGTTGCATTTTCGTTTGTGACTTGCTGAAGCATTCCTTTAAAATAATTTATACATAAATGAATTTTCATTTTGTGTTTACTTGAATATTTTTTTGCGTTGCTATCACGTAGAAATTGAAACTGTCAAACGTGATATTTCCATTGATTACCTTTCAAATAATAAAAGAAGAAGAAGAATCAAAAGCAAATAAAAATGGAAACAATGCAAAATATTCAAATGGAAAATTTTTGTTTTCAATCTGCTAATTTTATTTATTTTAAAGAAGTGGTTCACAATTAGATCTTTGTAGCAAAAGGTATAAGAAGTCAGATCAATAGAAGAAGTTTAGATTAGTTTACTTCAATTTTAACAAAATTGATAAATTTTCGAACTAAATAATGAGAATTTAAGTTAAGTTCAATTTTTTCAATTTGTTTTAACACCACTCATCTATATACTTTCAATCTATGCGAAGGATTTTATTATATTTTTATGTACAGTAGCGAGTAAAAGTAATTGGCCACTCACATTTTCTGCTCTATCTTTTGATTGGAACCACGAAAAGTGATGAAATTTTCACCAATTATTTCATTTTTCATTACTAATACACTAATATAAGTCTTAATTCATAATTCATTGAATTTTGTACAGTTTTCCCATAAGGGAGGTTTTTGGAGGAAGCAAAAGTAATTGGCCACTTTATAGATTACAATTGTTCAAAGGTAATCATAGAATTGAATATTTATTTAAACTTATTCTGTTAAAATGAACAATTTATAAATTTTAGAAATGATTTTCTTCAATATTCAACATTTAGTTCCCTTAAAAATCATGGTGAAATAGAGTATGTCCAAAATAGAGGTTTTTATGCATTTTTTTAATTCCACATTACTTAAATTAAAAATAAAGCTAAGATTTACATTCTACTCATCAATACCTTCATTTTGATATACAATATGCCATACTTTCCTTCTATTTCTCTCTTATAAATCATATTTAATCAGTACAGCATGTACAATTTGCAGGGAAACTGACATTTGTAGGTTCCTAAAACCTTATAACAGCTTCCAAAAATTATGTTATGCACATATTTCTATAGATTATAGTCTGCCAATCATTTTGATATATCAAACATGCATATTCATAAGCTGGTTTAACAGTAAAAGATGGCTAAAGTTGAAGTTGTTACAAAATCATCGAATTTCTTAAAGTTTTCATACAAACTTTTAAAAATTGATCTGATCACTTTTTTGACTTTGCAAAACTGCTGAGTCTGCTTATGAATATGCATGTATGATATATCAAAATGATTGGCAGACTATAATCTATAGAAATATGTGCATAACATAATTTTTGGAAGCTGTTATAAGGTTTTAGGAACCTACAAATGTCAGTTTCCCTGCAAATTGTACATGCTGTACTGATTAAATATGATTTATAAGAGAGAAATAGAAGGAAAGTATGGCATATTGTATATCAAAATGAAGGTATTGATGAGTAGAATGTAAATCTTAGCTTTATTTTTAATTTAAGTAATGTGGAATTAAAAAAATGCATAAAAACCTCTATTTTGGACATACTCTATTTCACCATGATTTTTAAGGGAACTAAATGTTGAATATTGAAGAAAATCATTTCTAAAATTTATAAATTGTTCATTTTAACAGAATAAGTTTAAATAAATATTCAATTCTATGATTACCTTTGAACAATTGTAATCTATAAAGTGGCCAATTACTTTTGCTTCCTCCAAAAACCTCCCTTATGGGAAAACTGTACAAAATTCAATGAATTATGAATTAAGACTTATATTAGTGTATTAGTAATGAAAAATGAAATAATTGGTGAAAATTTCATCACTTTTCGTGGTTCCAATCAAAAGATAGAGCAGAAAATGTGAGTGGACAATTACTTTTACTCGCTACTGTATATCCTTTTACTTCAAAATACTTTGATGATACATATTAAAAATAAATTATTTCAGGTGTTTAAGTTACAAATTAAGATCAAATTTACTTTTAAACGTGTGGGCTAATTTATTTTAACAAAATAAATGTCATCACAAAATAATTAATTAGGTTTTTTTCTTATTTTATATTATTTAAAATGTATGCCTGAGGTTATAATTGTGGAAATATTATTTATTGTTGTAAAATAAACAGATAAAAACCACATAAATGAATAAGAGTGATTTGGATCATTGTCTTATTATGTGGATATTATAAATTTGAATTCAATCATATTTTACTTCAACGAAAAACAAGGGAAAGAAAAGAAAAATAAGGAAAAACAAATTCAATAAAGTCTCTATAAAGAAATTACAACTTTTTCTCCCTCCTACCAACCTTTCATTACATTGCTCCCTTGATATTCTATATTTAGATACAAAAGATTTCTTGGAAAAATCTTTGGTGGAGAAGAAGTGCTCAAACTTGACATTTTCTTCAATTGAGAATTTTATCAAAAATTTTTTCACTTTATTCCTCTTAGGCATAATTAGTTCGAAATAAAAGTCTATGAGATTAATTAGTAAATGCTCAGATAAATTCATTAATCCACGCAAATCATTTATATGAACCTTTATAAAAATGGAATTTTATAAAAACATAATTAACTGACAAAATGATTAAAGATTTCAAATGAATTTTATGTAATTGGGCATGCAGAGATTCAGAGATTTATCTAATTACTAAACACGATGCATTTTAAATTAATGAAAAATCAAAAAAAAATCATTAAAAGCCTGGGCCTGTTTGATAGGAAGTAATCCTACACAGTCTAAACAATGGATGAGATTCGAAGATTAAATTAAAAGTTATTGAAACATTTAAAATGCGTGTGTAGAAAAATACATGTGATAAAAATAAAATCACAACATTGAAGAATTATTAGACTTGATGCTGATAAAAACGTGTCGTTGTTGCTTATAAAATTTTCTCAAATATTTTTGTTTACAAATAATTGTATCCTTGCTTTTGACTATCAATATATAAACTAACTTTATACTTCTGTTTTTTCATCTCATTTTATACATTGTTGACATCATGAACTTTATTGATATATTTATCATCAATCCAGTCGGATTTATATGGACAAAGTTTGCTCAATATTACGCATCCTGATGACCACGCCTTTCTAAAACAGCAGCTTATACCAACAGATCTACATAATTTATTTTCAGCAAAATCGGATGAAAATGGAGAAATAAGATCACGTACAAAGGAGGAGGAGGAAGAAATCGATTTAAAACTTCGTGAGGACAGGAGAGATTTTACTATAAGGTACATATTTACACATTACTACATACAGAAACTAAAGTCTATAAGTAAATCTTAGAATTTATATCAGAAAACTTTATTAACTTATTAACTTTTAACACATTTTTGATTTGAATAATTATTAGACTTGCCCGTGCTGGTCCACGATCGGAACCGACACAGTATGAATTAGTACGAATAGATGGATGCTTTAAACGTGCCGAGTTGGCTCCACGTGGTCGACCGAACACAGGTCCTACAGGCTTACAATTAATAAGAAGAGCACGCGGACGAGATGATAATATTCCACTGCACAGCATAAGTGGAAATGATATTGTAAGAATAAGATTTGAACATTTTTTGTTGTTGTTCGAACTAACATTTCTATTTTATTTTTTTATTCGATAGATTCTTATCGCAATGGCGCGTGTCATCAAACCACCAATGTTCTGTGATCGTTTAATAGAAGCATGTCGATATGAGTACAAAACTCGTCATCTTATTGATGGTCGTATAGTTCAATGTGATCAACGAATATCAATAGTAGCCGGTTATATGACAGAAGAAGTATCCGGCTTATCACCTTTCACATTTATGCATCGGGACGATGTTCGATGGGTCATGGTTGCATTGAGACAAAGTAAGCTTGTTTTTCTCACATTATAAAATATATTTTTAAATTATATTCAGTTAATGGACTGGAAACGCTCTCAGATTGTTGACAGTCATAGTTTTATTTTGATGAACTACGTAAATGCACAATATAAATCATGAAAAACCTTCACATTATTTTTTTACAACCTTGAAAAGTTCAAATGAGTTTATGTTACAGCTCTCTTCAGTGAATAAACTCTCCCTAGCAATGAAAATATAATCCGAGAGTTTTTTTTTTTCATTATTTCAAAACTTTTTGTGGCTTTAAATAAAAGAGCTTCCAATAATTTTAGTTTTGTCTGTTTGATATTCAATGCAGACGTACGTGACCTTGAAAATAATCCTCATTAAATGAGAAGCTTGAATATCGTTCTTTTTTTTTGATAACATTAATATTAATGACAATGTTCTGAAAGAAAAGAAGCCTTAGGATATATAAGTGAACAAAACAACACTGTCGATAATATTTTCAACGTTTCTAGTCCAACATAAAAACATTGCTTTATCTTGGTAGAAAAAGACTTAATATGAAAAGAATGACAAATAATATTTTTTAAAACATTAATATTAATTGTAGTGTACGACTTTGGAAGTCCAGTTGGAGAGTCATGCTATCGTCTTATGTCACGCACTGGTCAATTTATCTATTTAAAAACTCGAGGCATTTTGGAGATTGATGAAAGGACGCGACAAGTACATTCGTTTGTGTGTGTAAATACGCTTGTATCAGATGATGAAGGACGGCGGCTCATAAAGGAAATGAAGAGGAAATTTTCAGCAATTATAAGTGAAGAAGAGCTTAGTAAGCTTGAGAGTGATGTACCCGCTGTTGAGAACCCACAGTTATTAGAACGTGCCATTCTAAATTTAATAACAAATCTTAATAACGCGTCATATGATGATGACGATGCAGCATCAATAATAAGTGATTCCACAATACACGAGGACCAGAAGCATGGAAAATTACCATTGGCAATAATTGCACCAAATACAGTATCAGTAAAGCCAACAGTTGCGAAAGCTGTTAATATAATAACACAAATGCGCGGTAAAGATATTCAAATTAAAGATGAACCAAAGAGTCCTGAATCACATTCACCTTCATCAATTGATAAGCATTCAAGTTTTCAAACGCAATCATCAACGAACGATGACCCAACACATTATAATATTAAAACTGAGCCTGGCATTGGAGGCATGCTCTCACCTACCTCATCATTTTCAGTATCATCACATGACTCTGATATATGTTCTCCACAGCAACATAATCAAAATGAAATCATAAATGCATCATCTATTGGCATGATTAATGCATCGAGTTCTAGTCGACAACATGCAGCGCGAGCTAATCAAAAAGCTGATGATTTCAATTCAACGCCATATGAGAATCTTCCGACCGCAATATCAATAAGAAATTCATCATCAGATAGTTTTAGTTCAAGTTTTTCGAACTTTGCATCAGCACCTCAAACCGATTCGACCTCTCTGAGTGGTGGTGTAAATTTAAACAATAACAATAAAATTAATAACAATAGCAGTAATAATAATAACAATATTATAAGGAGTTCAGTACTTAAGCGCACTCATCAAGATGCTGATAATGATCACGATGACTACACAGAACTAATTAAGAAACGAGGAATACACAATGATCTTATTCGAGTGCCACAACAGCCTCCACTCGATTTACTTGCATCATCAAGTTCAGGTGAGTGACTTGTTGCGTATGGTTAATAATTGAGAATTAATTAAGATAAAATTAATTATATTCTTTTAGATATATCGGATGTCCTGTCAACATTTCCCGATGATAGCCTAACAGAGCAATTTGGCTATAGTGATATTGCGACAACGCCTCATTCTCATGGTGAAGAGCTTACCGTAAGTGACACAACGCATCCATAATATTATGTTATCGCTTTTCCTCATACATATGAGTTATTTTTTCCGTTTATAAAGTCGTGATTTTACGTGTCGCCCGGTTATTAAATTTATGGATTTCTTTTCAACAACTTTAACTACGTCAGAAGATTGATCAAAAGAAAATTTTATAAAACATGCATATATACAGCAAAGGAATAATTTTTCTTCCGTTTTTTTTTTTCTCTTCCTTCTGTTTTTGTTAACTGTCTTTTAGACGGAACAAGAAGAACAACGAGAAATTTTGAATTCATTACGTGAATCTTGTTCTGTAATACAGCAGACTCCAAAGTCATCCGATTATAATAGCAACACTAATAACAATAACAGTTAGTAAGCTATGAGAATTTAAATAGATATTGATATCTATTAGTAAGAGAAGGTGTCAGCAGGAGTAGCAGGATCAGCAAGAAAAAGCACATAATATGCACACATGAGTTTTATGGTGACTCGCTTAACTGTTTATCATACAAAAAAAATTAAATTCTTTCCCGCAGCCGTACATTACTATATACACTCTCATTTATATACTTACTGATGATAGAGAAGAGAAAAAAAAAAAATCATCAACACGTTAATACTTGTTTTATCTTTCCTACTCGGCTGATCCATGAGAAGAATATAATGAAAATGAGAGAAAGAAATGGATACACATAAAGCTTTATTTACTCAAACAACAACGATCAGAACAACAATGTTCTTTAAATTGAAGGATGAAAAATACAAATGCGAAGATGAATATTAAACAATATTCTTTTCAATGTTTTTTTTTTCTTCTGATAATTGTTAAGAGACTTTTGCTAAGCAACTGGTCATTTTGTTCTTTTTGTAATTTATAAAATCAGAAAATGCTATTATAAAATGATAAAGGAAAAAGATATAGAAAAAATAAATTTAAAATGAATGGAATGAGAATTATTAGATAAAATAATGTTGGATATTTGAAGAGATGTCTTTAAAAGATAAATGAAAAAGTAGATAATGAAAGATTATTAGTTGAAAAATCATGATATTAATGAGCATAGGATATATTGAACGTGAAAATTTTCTTTCAAAAATTTCCTCTCGATGAATTTTTGAAACATGCAAAATTGAGATTTAAAAGATATGGTTTAACAATCTTATCATAAAATATCATCAAGTGATGACAGGAAGTTTGTTGAATTTTCAAAAAAATTCCAAAAAAAATTCGCAATTTACCAAAAATTTAAGTTTTTCGTTTTAGAAAAAAAATATGCAAATTTTTCTAACTCTGTGCAATATTGACAAAGAAGTTTTGAAGAATTTTTTTGTTAATTTAACTCTGTCACACAAAATTAATTCCATTCCGCTAGAAAATACAAATTGTTTCAAATCAGGTACAACTTTGCATGACGTGAGACAAAAATTCAAAGAAAGTCGAAACTTCGAGAGTAAAATAATTAATAAGTGTGGTCTATAATCAATAAAAGAGTATTCTCATGATCATTGGTGATACATGTCATGTATGTAAGTCAAAAGAGAATATGAAGTTTTTGAAAGCAATTTTCATAGAGAAAAGCGAAGGAAAAATTTTGAATGTGATGATTTGATGGACTTGTTTTTTCGGACATAAATTCGGAAATTTGATGTATTTGCCATAAATTGCCAAATAATTTGGTGTTTACATACAATATTAGTTTTAAATTAAGAAATTAAAAAAAATCGAAGGCTTGGATGAAATCAAATAATGAAGACCAAATAATAAAGTGTATCAAGGTCAACTGAATTAAAAATTTGTAAGAAAATAAAATTTTGTACAAAAAAGTCTAAATTTAAGAATTTTTGATAAGAAATTAATGGAGGTGTAAGGAACTAAATAAAATAATTTTATAGTATATTAAATGTTCTGATAAGCAAGAGTTTCATTTGTTTTAATCTCTCCAAGCCTTCATAAAAAGATTATCAATTGAAAAATTATTTTTTTGTTTCATTAAAAGTTGAAAAGCTTATAAAAACTTTTTTTAAAAACTTGGAATTCGGAACCTTAATTGTTCGAGGAAGATATTTTTAAAAATGTTTATGATTATCATAAAAGTTTAGTGCAATTACGCTACGTGTAGCCCTATTTAATCGATGGTATTAATCCTCATAGTGAGGTCACACCAATCTGATGATAAAATTACCATAATTATGCTTTAAAAACTTAAAATAAAATTTATATAAAAATACCATCATTTAAAATGGCCTTGAAATTCCTCGGCAGTTTCCGATCTGATTCGATTTTTTCATACCTAGATTTTCCGTGTGTGTGAAGCTGGCGGGAACAGGTTCTCAGATCAAGTTGAAACTTTGTCAGAATTACGTCCATATTACGTCCATTTACGTCCCGTAATTAAATATTTTCGTCCTACTTCCTATGACTGGATATACCACTTTCAATATTTGAGTATCTTTCCCGCCAACTTCACTTTTTCAGCGGGAACCAATTACGAAATTAATTTTAATTATACATATTATATATCAAAACTGATCTCCTAATTACGTCCAATTTCGTCCCGTAAAAATTTTTGGAATCGGATATAACCAGCAAGAGTTATGGACTGTCAAAGTTTTGAACAGTACTACTTGTGGACCAATATTTTTTCCTATTAAATACTTATCATGTAGTATATCAAAACACGTCTCATTTTTGTCAAGAGCTTAAATCTGATGGAACTATTTAAGTTCAATCTGTCATTTTGGACTTTTTGCAGTTCCAGTTCCATCTCGTACCTGAACATCATCAAAATTTCAAAAATTTACTAGGACCATATTGTATGTCAAAATATATTTATTTTTTCTCAGTATTCCTTATCGGAAGGAATTTTTTAGATTATTTCGCCATTTTAAATTTTTGGCAGTTCCTGTGCATTCTAGCCTCGTACCTGAGCATGTACCTGAGTCCAAAAATTCGAAAAAAATTAAAAATTAAAAAATAAACATTTTTTTGTTTTTCAATATAAAGATAAGGTTATCGAATCTCAAAATTTTTAAAAACTTTTAGAGTATTCAGGTATTTAGGTCATTAATATAATTATTTTTTAACGAAAAAAAAAATTTTAATTTTCAATAATAATTGCCAATCAAATAATTTTGGATGTCAACGCATCAAATTCTTTACCAATGAATTATTTCAAATCTATAATTAATTCGTAATAGCCACTGGCTAGCCCTCTTAAAAATTTTAAATCAAAAAGATGCACACATATATCAAGATGTGCAGGCATGCCAAAAATGTACTGAAACTGTAATAAATCCAAATCTACCATCAGGATTAAAAAATTTCCTCAGAATTTGAATTAATGTGAAAAAATCCTTATGATTTGATGCATAACATGTCCTTAATTTTTTTTCGAATTTTTGGACATGCTCAGGTACGAGGCTAGAATGCACAGGAACTGCCAAAAATTTAAAATGGCGAAATAATCTAAAAAATTCCTTCCGATAAGGAATACTGAGAAAAAATAAATATATTTTGACATACAATATGGTCCTAGTAAATTTTTGAAATTTTGATGATGTTCAGGTACGAGATGGAACTGGAACTGCAAAAAGTCCAAAATGACAGATTGAACTTAAATAGTTCCATCAGATTTAAGCTCTTGACAAAAATGAGACGTGTTTTGATATACTACATGATAAGTATTTAATAGGAAAAAATATTGGTCCACAAGTAGTACTGTTCAAAACTTTGACAGTCCATAACTCTTGCTGGTTATATCCGATTCCAAAAATTTTTACGGGACGAAATTGGACGTAATTAGGAGATCAGTTTTGATATATAATATGTATAATTAAAATTAATTTCGTAATTGGTTCCCGCTGAAAAAGTGAAGTTGGCGGGAAAGATACTCAAATATTGAAAGTGGTATATCCAGTCATAGGAAGTAGGACGAAAATATTTAATTACGGGACGTAAATGGACGTAATATGGACGTAATTCTGACAAAGTTTCAACTTGATCTGAGAACCTGTTCCCGCCAGCTTCACACACACGATTTTCCTTTTTTAAATCAGAAAACATTGACAACAGAACAATTTTAATCTTCTTTTCGTTCACGCAAATTAATTCAATGAAAAAAAAAGAGTGTTAATTTATCGCTGATTTCAAGCTAGTCATGAAGACGAAAATATGACAAATAACTTTTTTAGCAGCAGAAATTTTTTTGAAACAAATATTGTAAAATTAAAGATTATTTTCATTCAGTTTTAAACAGGATGGAGCATTTTCCAAATCAGTAAATGATCTTAATATAGAATCTCTTAAATCATGTCCAAATCAAATCTCTTAGAAATTTTTCTGATAAAGATTTTAAAAAAGGTAAATTTTAAAAAAGACCTCACAAAGTAGGAAATCGTTAATCGGAACCGGATAACTTTGGTAGGCTTTTACAAGAAATACTGGAAATGTCCTTAAAATGTTATTTTTATAGAATTCATAATCGTGCTGAAATGGTTTAAAAAAATCTACCAAATAGCCAGTATATAATTTCAAGCAGCATACAGACTATTATAAATCAATTGCTAATTTATTTTAGGAAAATGCGCTTAAAACAAAATTCATTCACAACATTTAAAAAAACCAAAAATATACAGGAAAATTGAAAGAAAAAAATATCACAAATACAATAGTTAATCGCTTCTACCTCACACGATGGAATAAGAAGATAACATGATTAGCATCAGTGAAAAATATCAAAAAAATAACAATTTTAAGTAAACCACGATAATATAAATGAAAAAAGACATAAACGAAGAGTTTCAAAAAAAAAATCTTTCTGCCAAAAATAAAACTTTAAATGAAATATAAAGAGAAACTTACTAACCGTGTCGTCCGAAATTTTTTTTCACTAATTAGACATTTTTTGTGCCTAAAGCTCAACTATTGATTATGAGAAAAATAATAGAATAAACAGATGATGAAGAAAAAACAGTTCATTTTGCGCAAATTTTGATACAGACAAAAATTAAGTAATTCATACACGAGAATGAATTGAAAGAAATAATAAGAAAAATAATCGAGTTTATACATTTTTTAATAAAATAGGAAGAAAAATAGAAAATTAAAGTTTTTTGTCTGGGAAGAGACATGCAGACAATTGGTATTTTCAACTTTTAAATTCGGCAACGATTTGCAACATCTCAAGATTCCTAACTTTAAAATAGTTTCATATATATAAAAAAAAATGACTGTAGCTTTATTTCGGATAATATAAAAATGACCAATTAAACACAAGGAAAATTTCTACATCAAGTATCGTAAGGAACATAATTTCAAACCAAATCATAGAGAAGAGATTAAATTTTGAAAAAAAAAAATTATGTACATTTTTTCATTCTGAAAGAGCGCGATAATATATGTGGAAGTGAGCTAAAAATAGGAACAAAAGCTACAAGTATATAATGCTTAACGAAGGTCATGGCTAAAACTCTCAAAATATTTTAAATTGAACTTTATGTTCTCTACATTAATGTTCGTCAAAGTTTGTTTTTTATGTAGATAGATAGTTTTCATGTCTAATGAGTTCCTTTAAGAATTACTTGTTATTGATATTTGACGTCTAGTTCAGTCAAAACTGACCCCATTAGTTTCCTTAAATCATAATTTTCGTATGTCTCACTATATGATTTTTTAAAAAGTGTTCATCTTAAAATGTTTGATTAAGTTTATTAGAATATTTTTTGTACAAATTAAAATAGTTTTGCGATCCAAAATGGACAAAAAAGCAATAATTAAAAATCGGCTGTATCAGATTTTCCATTTGGATGTAGAAGATCTTATTTTGGCTACCAATATTTTTGTGTTCAAATTTAATGACTTATAATTGACTATATTTAAGGTAATATTGAATTTATAATAGGAAATCATAAACTGAACGAGAACGTCAAATCAATAATATTTCTTTTCAGGATTCTTATTCAACAGTCTTTTGTCGTACAATTTTTGATTATGTTATAAAATATAATTCAAAGATTTATTTGGACTAAATTTCAATTAAATTCGCCTTTTGCGAAATTATATTAAATTAATAATATCGTCAATAATTTAATAATGATTAGGCCTACCGCCATATCTAAGTATAAACCTTTTTCTGTCATTTCTATTAAAATCCTTCTTTTTATTTCAAGATTACGAAAAAAAATCTTTAGCTTATTTAACGCCAATTAGTGTTTACATTTTCTTTGCTATGGCTCAAAGCTCTAAAAAGGTTCTATTTACTTTTATATGTAAATATTTTCTCTGACTTAGTTATGAATTTTTAAAAATTTTGCCTTTCCTTCTCTCTTATGAACTCAGCCATTTAGAGTAAAAATTGTTTACCAAACCAAAAGATACACAAATCACAACTTTTCAATTTCCTTTATCGTGTATTTTGTGATTATGAAAAAAAATTAAAGAACAATCTTACCTTAAAAAGAAAAAGTAATAAGTTTCAACCTCCAACTATTCTACTCCATGACAGCATTCAAAAAACACAATATAAATCGCAACATTCAGCAAAATAAGTTGAAAATGTATGTAATTTAAATTTAAAAAATTATTTTCATCTCTATATAAATTTACCATTTACTTAAATCATGCCAGAGATAAGTGAATAAAACGAAAAAAAGAAAATATGTTTGAAAAGTCTACAAAAAAATTAATGAATGAAGGATAAAGTTATCATAAAGTATATATGGCAGAGAATTCGTTATGTTTTTGTAAATATAGTTTTGGTAAAAAAAAATTAAAAAAAGAAAGAAAAAAATAGCCCTACTTTTTATTCATCATCGTTCTGTATGCTCGTGACGAAGATAAATAAAATTTTAATAAGAAAAAAAAATAAAAAAAAAATCAGTGTTATATCCTACGATGTGTAGATATGGTAAAATGTGTCAAGCGAGTCTTAAGAGATAAAAAATTATTTATATTTTTTATCATCCATAAAAACCCAGCATCCATACATCTTCATTAACTTACAATAGTTATTTTTAATCGTTTACTTCTCATTTGTTGATAATTTAGAATATCTATCAAAGAGAATAACAAGGCGTGGAAACTCTTGTTATAATTAACAATAACAAGAAAGTTGATTCAAGATTTAGTCGAAACTTTTCCATTTTTGAGCGAAACTTCTTAACGAAAAAAAAAATGAGAAAATTTCACTAGATACTGACAATTTGACAGAATTTTTCCAAAGAACACTTCTTGTAAAAGAATTATCAATGAAAAGGAAAAAAAATAAATAAATAGTAAAAATGAAGGATAGAATAAACAACTTACGTTCAAAATAATTTTATTCTTACAGTAATAATTTAAATTAAATCTAGATTACCTGCGTAGAGCAAAGAAGATAATGATAATACCTAATTATAATGGAATGAATTAAGAAATGTTTAAGAAATGAAAAGTTTATATTGATTAAGGAATATGAACGAGATAAAAATTTTATGTTGTTTTAAATTTTATGTATAGAATCGTAATAATTTATTCTGTTGAAAATTGAGCAAAAAATTCGAAAAAAATAAAAATGAATAAAAAAGTGCAAAGTTACAAAAAATTAAAAGACATAAAACTGCTTTTTTAATCCTCCATAATTTTTCTTCATATTTTTTCAGTTTTTATTACAGATTTCTTGTTGTTCTTAAACATTTTTTTTTTCAAACACTTGTTTTCACTTTAAAATTTAATTATTTATTGTGGTTCTTACAATTTTTTCTTGACTTGTTTTATTTTTGATATTTGAGCTGTCTTTGATGTACAATAAATATAATTTAATCATAATAATTTTCTCATACGTGAATGTGTATACAAGCATTGGATATAAATTGCACAAATAAGGATTGATTAATGATGCTTTTAGCTAAATTTCAGAATTCATTCGCTCATTCATCCTTGCAAAAATAATGAATTTTTTTTAAAAAATTTACTTTAATTTTAATTGAGACAGTTGCTTTTCAAACAAAAAGTATTTCGGCACGATATTTAGTAAAACATTATCTCAATCTTACCAGTATCAGAATATATTTATAAATCTCAATTTGATCCAGTTTTGTCAGATTTGACAAAAAGTATGTCACTTTAATAAGGATTTTCAGTTTAATTTATTTCCATTCAATTTGATTTTAGGTTGAATCGATTTGAGAGACAAATCTCAAATAAGATTAGAAAAAAACGTTCAAAAAAGTATATAATTCAAATCCCATCGACATTATGTCATCTTTTTTATGCTCCAATTCAGAAAATCCAAATAAATTATTCAATAAAATTAAAATTTATTTTCAATATTATTGCAAGGAATCTACATTTCATTCACATCATTTACACCACCACGTTCAGGCTTATTTTTCTCTTTCTTCATCTCTAAATTATGTATGTATTTATAAGCATGTAAGAAGTATACTAAAGGATCATTCACAATATAAATTTTCACAACATATTTTCTTCATCCATGTCTTCTTTATCGCATTGAATTTTATGTTTAAGAAAAATAAATTTTAATTTCTTGTGTGTCTTCATTCTTGAATAGAAAAGCTTTGGCGTTTTAGCGAAAAATTCTTAAAATTTAATTTGAAATGAAATATCTATTTATGGAAGATTTCCATCAATGTAATGACACGCGATGGTCAACTCTATCTGCTTATTTTTGCCTCACAATCCTTTCATGTGCTATCATATTTTTGATTGCTTAATTTATCATGAGTATGATGGAAAGAGCGAGAGAATATGAAGATTCCTTCCTTCATGGATGAACATTAAAATTAAAACCTCATAAGTATAATACAAAGCTGAAAGTTGCTTTAAGCAAATTTTTTTCTTTGTCATCAGTTCTTTGAGAACATTCAAAATGTAGAAAGAGAGGGAAATGTTCGGAGAAAGTTCTGTTGTTTATTTTTCAAATTTCCTAAGGGACTTACTTGAAGAAGAATAAATATTTTACGTACTTATTAGACATCTAAATATGTGTAGAGATTATTATGTCCCACGATTCAATAAATTTTCATTCTTTGCATCTGCTTTGCTTAATTTTCCATATAAATATCTTCGATCGGATATGCCTAAAGCGAGATAGTTGATAAGAACAGAAACAAGAAATGGAGTGTATAAAATTTCCATATTAAATATTTACAGTAATTTATCATTATTTACCGTCTCGATAAATTTCTGGTAGAAGCGTTGAAATGCACGACTGTGAAAGAAATCGAAGCCAAAGTGTATAAATATTGACATGACATTTGATGCTGATATCTGTAATCACTCACCCGACTGCTTCAGCAACAATGCGCGTACTTTCAGTTCCTATAAAAACGTGACATGCAAAACGTTGCAATGTAGGATGCTTCGTGATAAATCCAATGTAGCGATGATCTCGTGGATGAAATGCACAAAATGAGACATTCTTTAACGAGTAGAAATAGTCAATGCATGGTCCACGTTCACGTTTCTTCTACAAATATGTCGTAAAAATATTTTTATCACACAAAATAAACATCAATAAATCTAAGATTACCTTTGATCGATCAACCATTCTAAGTCCTTGGTCAGATATTTCAAGTATACACGCTTGTCCTTTGGGCGTCATGTCACCACCATCTCCAACAATTTTTCTTACTGCTTGACACACCACACCAGTTCCTTTATGTGAAAGTGTCTCCACCGATCCCAAATATCCCAATAAATAACGTTCTCTCTTCATTTCAACCGATGTTGGATCAAAGTCATTATATTCAAGATCAACAGCATACGCTGAAGGAAATACACCTTGATTTCCCGTCCTTAAGTTTACTCCTTCACACCATAAATCATCAGCCTCTTTTTGAACATAAATTGGATCGCCAATTTCAATTTCCAATTCATCGTGATGTCGTGGTAGAAATTTATGTAATCCACGATGCGTTGCTTCAAGCATTTCCAATTGACTATATGGAACACCACCGAATGGTGGTGGAAACGGTGAATTTGCTTGTGGCGGTGTAATACTTTTGTAATCGTTTGGTGAATGTGCTGTGCTATGTCCACTATCAACATCGCAAAAACTATGCATACGATCCGAATCAGGACTCGAGTCCTCATCCAATAAATAACTGCACTTAAAAGCCAGCAACGAGTTTTGTTTAAAAGGTTGATGATGGTGATGATGATGGCTATTGATGCTTGTTTGACTACCCAACTCATCTGCTAAGGATGTTTGATTCAATAACAGATGAGCTAATGTCGCTATGAATTTAGATTAATTTGATCAATTTTAAAGTTTTTATACAGTCATCGAGTTTACTTACATTTTCTATTCTTCGGTATCTCAGGAAGCTTCCGCCTTCGTCTCTCAGCTTGTCCAGATAACCATGGAAGAGAATTTGTTCTTTCTAATTGTGATTGCTGTTGTTGTGTAGATTGATTTGAATCTTGTGTAACAATACTTGAAGGTCCAGAATCTAAATTATGATTATTTTGAATAGCTTGGCTTAATAGTGACGATGGTCCAGTCCTCAATCCATCACCAAGTTCATCATCTTCAGCGACACTGCTATTGCTGCTAATATTTGTTATGGTCACATTTGTACAAGCTTGAGGCAATCGACTTGTACTGATTATATGTACGCCTATGTCCATTTCATCTGGATCACTAGCATCACTCTTTGATGGCGATGGTGTTATTGCATCAAAGTCAATATCCGACACCAAACTAAAATCAAAATTTAATTAATTTTCATGGCATTTTTCTGCATTGATTTTCCAAAACTGAATAGAAATTATTATGAGGATTTTTCTCCGTGCCTTCATATAAAAAAAAATTGATTTTTTTCAATTGCAGTTTTTTTCTCAAAGCGAGTAAGATGGGGCGTAATAGAAAAAAAATCCACTGAATCTTGTTAAGTTACGACTTACGAGTAGTATGGTGATGGAACTGCCTTAATATTTAAAGTTTGCTTTGAGAACTGTTCGAATTCTGGTTCTGCCATTTTCTTTCTTTTAATACTTTTCTATTCCTTATAAAACTAGTTTTAATCACTTGTAAGACAAAAATAGATACTTTTCTTTTCTTTGCAACCCCAAAAATTGCAAATAAAAAACTTCTTTTGGGGTTGAAAGAGGAATTTTTTACAATTTTTTAATTTTTTACTATTTAAGCACTTCTGCTATTTACAATGAATAAGATTATACTGAAAAATAATGTGGGGATTTTTCCACAAAAAATATTGATTTTTCTTCCTTACAGCACTTTTATGTCGTCAGCATACTGCTTGAATTTTCACCCTCATCGCTCATGCGTCTTTGTTGAAAATTTTCTAAACGTTACGATTTATTTTCACCCTCGCAAAAATTTCACCGTTTGAGATATTCAGAAGTTTATCAATGAAAATGAAATGAACATCGAAAATTCATTAATAAAACATGAGAATAAAATTCTTTTGCATCAACATGCTTTTACCTTTTATCAAATTGTATTCATGAATAGATAAATGAAGTGAATAGAAAACTTTGATGGTTGTCTCGATTTATTGTTTTATGGTTTTACAGATTTTTGTGCATTTTATATTTATATTACACCTTTGTAGAATGATAAATATTTATTAAAATAAAGGTTACAATTTCAAAGGTTTTAAATATTAATAATGTATTTTTTTTTAATTTTTCATTCTAATTTAACTCATCAATAGTTATAACAGCAATAAATATAATTTTAAAAATTTTCAACCAAACCATAGTGTTATCATACAATGCTACAAGCTGGAGATCTTAATTCCAACGAGCGATTAACAATTTAAGTTTATTAAATTTAATAAAGCAAAGTAATATTTGAAGCTATTGCAACATCCTTCCGGCTAACTTCAATCACATGTGGTATTCGATTGACAATCTTTTTAAGATATAACTTTTATTTATTTTCAGCGTTCATAATCCTAAACGGCCTGTTTCACTCAAGTGGATTATCTTCGATTTCGGATTATCCACTTCAGTTTTTTGCAAATATCTTAAACTTTATGGGAGGTGTGGTATTTCTAATTTTGGATTTTAATAGAGTGAACTATGCCTGAAATTTCTGTACACTTTAAACTTTTGCTTTTCGTTAAGAAGTATTAATTATTCAATTTTCTAGCCAAATCTAGTAGATAAACTTCGATTTTTGCTATAATTTAGACATTAGATCTCTTAATGACCTTAAGCGCCTGGAGATATTTCCAAAAAACTGAAGTGGATAATCCGAAATCGAGGATAATCCACTTTAGTGAAACAGACCGAAAATTCTTATTTCAAACAGAGACTGAATCAAATTCTATTTTCAAAAACCAGCAAGTATAATTTTTATTGGTTTTATGCAGTTTCTCTCAACCCATGCCTAGCATCAAACGATGGTGAATCGTCGCACTTTCAGAAATATTGCACCTGATTAATTGATTAAACATTGTTGCTGTCAAAAATTAGAACTCAAAACTAGACTTTCAATACTTCAAATGATTGCAAATATCATACAAATGTGCAAATGATGTGACATGTTCAAAATGTGTTTCGTCGCAAACGTCTAGTTAAAAAGTTTTGTGTTTCATTACAAATTGAGAATCACTGCTTCATAGCATCAGAAGCTTGCGAGAATCTACACACGAGCATAAAAACATTCAACGTGAATTTTTTGCAGTATCCTTTGGATCGTTAAATAGCCACTTAATAAAACTAATGTGGTGAATAAATGTGGAAATTTATCTGTACATGATTTTCCTATTCTTTATTCTTACGTATTTTATTGTATTCGAATATTCTTACCATCTACGAGAAAATAAAAATAAAATTAAATTTATACAACAACAAAAATTCATTAAACCACAAATACATGTGTGGATGTAGAACTATTGGTCATTTATAACTTACAACCCACACAATAATATTACTACTCAGCTTCTTCATCATCATCAACAACAGCAACAGCAGCAGCAACAGTATGTTGATGTTTTTAACTACTGAGAATCTTGTGAATGACATTCGTAACAGATCATTAACTTTCATTCTATGTAGATTAGACGATACAAAAATGTCACTGGTTAAAGAAAATTTAATGCGGGCTTGTTTAATCAACCTAATTTGAAACAGTGAAAAGGATTCAACTACGTCATGTGGAAAATTATTTCAACAAAGAGAAATGAAAATTCATTTTGGTCGTCATTAACTCTTGATATTTAATTGAATTCAACATTCGTTGACATAATCTGTAAGATATTCTTCTGAAAATCATTCATCTAAAAATACATTTCAAGTGGAGATTTTTACTATTTTTAAGTATATCCACTACTGTTGTTTACATAGGCCAACAATACATACCAAATGATAAAAGATTTTTCATGTTACACAAAAATAAGAGAGATCTAGGTTGAAAGGCGATTGTGTGCTATGCTATTGAAGAGAAAAAGCGTTGTGTAAATAATCGACAGACTTTCCTTTTTCATTCATATTCTGTTAAAAATGCAACTAGTGATAAATCCACAAAGAAGAAATTGTAAACTTCTTGTTAAATAAAAGGAAGAAATGACTTTTTGGGGGAAATGGTTGAAAATAATACGAGAATTCGTGTGTATCTTATATTCAAACAAGTTGACAAGGTACGGAAAAATTAACACACTTTTTCGCTTGTTATAGTATAAATAAGCAATAAAGAAGAGATGCATATCAGCAAATTTTCAATATTAGTTAAATCATCTTTGTTGCTTCAAGTTGCCATTAATAATAATTTTACCAAATCAAATTGCAAAGTTTTACTGGATAAAATTTCGGTCTTAGACATTATTTTCTATGTCGCAATACTTGCTTGACGAGAAGGAAATAGAGTCTGTAGAATTTATTTAATGAATCAAATTAAATCTAATTCAAACCTTCCTAGACTTGCATATCGTAATGATTTATTTTTCTTATTCCATTACTCATCACAATACTTAAGATTGCTTACATATATTCTCATTCCTTATTGCATGAATCTGTATTTAATGAAAGCTGACACAGTTTAATAGAAGAAATAAAAAAATTCTTTTTTTTACAAACCTGAGAAATAGAAGGAATAAAAAAAACTACATGATTCTTCTTTTATTTAGCCAATGAAAAATGATTTTTTTTTTCTATTTTACACGCACACAAATGCATGAGCTATAAACGATGAGGAAAAATTTATCTTCAATTCAATTTCTTCTGCTATCATTGAAAATTGCGTAAAGGATCTTCTTTAGTGGTTGTTGTTGTTTTTTCTTGTATGCATGTGTGCTAATTTATACTGAAGTATCTTTACCCTCATACCTATTCCAATTGTCGAGAGTATGACGATAGAAAGCTAGATATACAGGAAAAGTCAGACTATATAAAGCCATGAACAAATTATTCTAGCCTCAGTTCTCGTCTTGGATTTAACAGTGATGTTTTAACAGAAGCAATAAGTCTTGTGAAGTAGTGCTCAGTAGTTATCCTTCGAAAAATCTCTGCTGGATAATATTAAAGAGATTTTTTTAAAACAGGATTATTGTGCAGTTTTCATCTCCATATTAGTTTCTATTTAAAATAAAAATCAAAAAGATGACAAAGATGTTCCATTAAATTTAAGGATTTTTGTGCTATAAAAGAAATAATAAAATCCAAAGTTATTCAATTGGGAAATCTTGTTAAAAGTTCTTTGATTCAAGATTAAAAAATCACTATTATGTCGGCATCAGGGAAAAGTCTTTTGGGACTTTGGCTTTATCGAAGTGGAGAACAGGAATGGGCGGTAAAGGAAGGCTCTCCAATTCATAAACCAAAGGATTTAATAGGAAATGTAATTCAATGAATATTTTCGTATGATGCATGAAAGTTTTTGCTAAAGACGATCTCAAAAGTTTTATAAAATTTTAAAATTAGGAATTAAATTGAATTTCAATTTATATTTTCATTATAAATGCTTTACTATTAAAGATTGTATTTTTCAGTTTTAAATGGATAAAAGCCATAAACTTGTTTAAAATTTTGAAAAAAATTTAAGAAACTAGATTTTCAATCTTAAAATTTATAAAAATTTATTCTTGAAAGCATGTAAAAGGATCAAAACAGTATTGATAATTAAGTATTTCTATATGTGTAAGGTTTTAAATTTTTTTAATCTCAAATATTAAAAAATAAATACAATTGAGAGAGGTAAAAACTAGAAACCTACCAAATCTAAGACAGGAGCTGCGAAACATTTATTAAAAATTAAATTAAAAAGAAATACTTTAAAATAAAATAAAAATAAAAATGTGTATTCAATTGACTTAAAATATCTCATCCAGATAGAGGAAAAAGCCAATGGCGATAATGGCAATGTCACTGTCACAACATCATCATCTGAAAAAACATCAATTATCTTTACATTAAAGCATCAGGTTGGAGCATTAGCTCGCGCTCTTCAAGTTTTCCAAGAACTCGGCATCAATGTCCTACACATAGAACTCCATTCAGAGAAGGAAACTGAAATGGTAAGAATAAAGGAATTAAATTTAAAATCAATACATGAAGGTGTAAAGTCACTGTGTAAAATAATTTTCATTCAATGAAATTCATTCATAAAAAATTCTACAACCTGTAATTATCTATTTAATGATCATAACAGGCAGACGTCCTTGTTGATATTGAATGCGACGCAAAACACATTGACCATGTTGTGAGAATGTTAAAGAGAGAAGTTCAATCGGTCAACTATGCATCTCCTATTGTCAGTGACGAGTATCCACCACCCACACCACTTTCAAAGTGCAGTAGCTTCGACTTCACTGATACAGTTCCTTGGTTTCCAAGAAAAATCTCTGATTTAGACCGAGCACAAAATGTATTGATGTATGGCTCTGATCTCGATGCTGACCATCCAGGTTTTAAAGATCCTGTTTATCGTAAAAGACGAGAACAATTTGCAGCTATTGCTAATTCATACAAACAGTGAGAATAAGAGTTTCAATTGTTTAAAATAAAAAATTAACTAATTGATTCTTATTTTCCGCAGTGGATCTGTTATTCCCAAAATTCAGTACACACCCGAGGAGATAAAAACTTGGTAAGTGCATTAATAATTTGTATTAAGTCTTTTTTGATCTGATTTAATCCTTTCTGCATTGGAAATTCAATTTAAAATGTTTCATTCACTTTAATTTCATTGACTCAAACTAGGGGTGTAGTATTTGTCGAACTACATAAGCTATATTTAAAACATGCTGTTGCTGAATACATGGAAAATTGGCCTGAACTTGTAAAGTATTGTGGATATCGGGAGGATAACTTACCTCAACTACAAGACATTAATGTTTATTTGAAACGTAAAACTGGCTTTATGATTCGTCCTGTTGCTGGATATTTGGCACCGCGTGACTTTTTAGCAGGTCTCGCATTCCGTGTATTTCATTGTACACAGTACATTCGCCATTCTTCAGATCCGTTTTACACTCCTGAGCCTGACTGCTGTCATGAATTGTTAGGGCACATGCCTCTATTCGCAAATCCATCATTTGCACAATTTTCTCAGGAAATCGGTCTTGCATCATTAGGAGCTTCAGAAGATGATGTCAAGAAACTAGCGACGGTAAAATGAAAATTCTTTTGAAAATTTTGTTTGATGAATTTACCGTTTTTAATCCTACAGCTTTATTTCTTTACTGTTGAGTTCGGCTTAGTTAAACAGCCAGATGGGACTTTTAGAGTGTATGGGGCAGGTTTGCTTTCATCAATTGCAGAACTTCAGCATGCAGTTCAGGCGAAAGATAAAATAAAAAGATTTGATCCTGATAGGACATGTTTTGAGGAATGCATAGTTACAGCTTATCAGAATGCTTATTTCTATACTGATAGCTTTGAAGAGGCTAAAGAGAAATTGAGAGAATTTGCAGGCAGCATTCAAAGACCATTTATGGTCAGATATAATCCATATACACAGTCCGTTGAAGTTTTAAGTAATGCAAAAAAAATTACAGCTGTTGTGAGTGAATTAAGAGGAGATTTAAGTATTGTGTCGTCTGCATTAAGGAAAATTTCTGCGCTTGATGAGAATTTGGATGTTGATTCACTATCAAATATGCTGTTACAAGGAATTCACGTAAGGAAAACTGACATGAATATCAATTCATACTTATTTATAAAGTTCAATTCACAGATGAATCACGACAAATCTCCAGTATCTGAGGGATCAGATGCATCACAAAAAAGTCACTAAAAAGCTTAAAAAAATCTACTGGCGGTCATCATAACTTTCCATGAATTTTTTCACTCAATCAAATTAAAAATTTCAGTATTGAATACTCAATTGTGTGTCCAAAAATTCAAGCATATATAGTGAAAAAAAAATAATAAAATTAAAATAACTATTTGATGTTGCAAGAATAAATTTGCTTTTACTTTATCTAAGGCAATATCTTTAAGATATGATGAGTTCCTTTCAAAAGAAAGCATGCTTTCACATGTCAAACTTTGATAAATTTCATTCGAAACATGTTTAATCAAATCCACTACTTCCCGAACTTTGCCTGATCTTCCATGACAAGGTTATCTTTATAAAAGTTCGCAAATTAGTCCTTCATTAATAAGAATAAAAAAAGTGGTCCTGATGCAATCTGGATGCAATGGCTCGACGAATAACTGGTGTATCGATTTACAACGATTTACGACTAAAATCACTTTAAGTAAAAACATAAGAATAATTTATATAGAAATTTTTATTTGGAGCATCATTAATTGTACATAAAATAGAATTAAATTGCTTTCTGTTTCCGTATATCAGTTAAACGTTTTCTTTTCAAAATAAAAGTTAAGGAATAAATTTCATAAATATTAAAAAAGAGGAGTAAAATTTTTTTAAAATAATTTTTGAAAGGCATTAGTGTGCATTTTGTGCAGCAAGGAAACTTTTTTTTTTTGGTGCAATAGATTCAAAAATTTCAAAAAACTTTGTAAGTGTGTTTGTGTAAATTTCATAAAGTGCACTTTTAACAATTTCTTTAATGTTAATCAAAAGCTCTAAATTCTATACATAAGAATCACCGTAAAATATATTTTTGGCATTTTCATGTTAATCTTTACAATAACAATTTTTTGTCATTTTTAATTAATTTTTTTAAGAATATTTCAAAGTTTCTATCATAAATGGCTGATTTATGACTTAAATTCCCGAATATAAATTCTTAAATTTATTGGAATTAGTTCTCAATCTAGTTGAAACCATTCAAAAACGACTTGGGTTTTAATTTTTTAAATGTCGTCTATGAACAGATCCTCGTCTATAGAAAATTAAAAAACGAATATTCTCTTATAATCTATCAAAAACAAAAGTCAATCCATTTGATTATCTTAATTTGCAATCGGCTCGATTTCCTCCAATTTCTGTCTCTTTAAAAAGCATAAAATGTTAACCCAGCAGAAACTGGCAAAGCCCATGTAAATGACTCTGAATGCCGGTGGAATTAAAATAAAATTTAAAGTTTGTGCTGGAAGCCAAAACATGCAAGACCTAATAAAGGTTGGAACAAATTTTCTTTTGCATTCCTCAAAAGGTTCATCAAAGTTCATTTCCATTAGTGACATTCCTGTATAGAATATCACTAAAAGTGGTGGAGTCAAGAAGAATTGATCAAGAAAAAGTTTCCTGATGATCGTTTTTTTGGCTGTTCCAGGAAATGTTCTGTCAAGCCATTTGTACCTTTATTTAAAAAAAAAGAAAAAAAAATCTACATTGAGACTTAATTAATATTGTTGATTCTTACCAGTTGTATAAAATTGGACTGTAGATTAATGTTCCCATGATACCATAGCGAGCTAACGTAGGTTTATCAATGTCTTGAGGTGGCGATGTCTAGAATGTTTAAATAAGTTATGAAACTTTTAGGAATAAACGCAAGTTGGATCGTCTGCTAATTTATAGAATTTATTTTTCAGAATTAAAATGAATCCCGAACCATAATAAAGGGATATCCCTAATATTTTAAAGGATATTGGTAAGACCGACCCGAATAGCACAAGTCGGTTAATCGAAAATAAATCCAGCGCCAAACTGACATGACACTGGGGTGGTGCTGGCTTCGAATTAAATACAGCACCATGCAAGTGTCGAATTTCTGATCGATTAACCGACTTGTGCCATTCGGACTAATTAGATACTGCCCTTGAAAAACAAGCTTTAATAAATAAGGAACTAATCCTGAAACGAACTGTAAGTTAGATGCATGCCAATCAACTCTAAGCATCAATTTACTTAATTTACAATACATACTAAAGATGCTTATTGTCACATGATTTAGCATCATTCAACTTAAAATAGAAACAGAAGTAAATGTTCATTCAATTATCACACTCCACATAAATAAAGAAAATGCTCATTCTTTTGAATAATTCATTTGAAAACAATGACAGATAGACCTTTTCAATCAGTGCTACGTATTTCAGATACTTGTTGCTCCTCTTTAACTCTCGCAATTGCTTTTTCTCACGAAGCACTACGTTCTCAAAATATTTTTTGAACATGAGAGCAAGAGAGAAGTTTCATAACTTACCAAAAATTTCTTCGTAACTGTCTGCTGTGAAAATTCAGCTCCCTATAATTAAGAATATATCAAAGTCCAGACAGTTCAAGGTAAATAAAATAGTGAATTAACATACCACATAGAGAAATCCATACGTAGTGCAATTCGCTATAACAGGATGCTTCCGAAAGGCTGTCTTTACCAAATTGAATAGTGCCATGCTTCAACTTTTTAAGAATCCGAAGGAGAAATTTTTGAAATTTTCTTATTAAAATTAAAGGAACAAATTTCCAAAATTTGCTGAGCATAAAAGCATTGTGCATTAAGACAGGAATGTATGAAATTTAATGGCATGTAATAATGTATTGCGAGCAAAAACCAATGTGAATTTTCCTACAGAAAGGATGAAAAAAAATCAATAATTCCTCGCCAAAAAAAAAAATATCTGCAGTGCACTTCTTACTTTAAAAAACAGAAAAATCAATGAATTCACTTAAATTGTTCAGATAATAAAAAGGCACAATGAGTACTTTAAAAAAATTGAAGACTAAATTGACTACACTCCACGACTAACAAGAATCATCTGAATTTATGATATTTAAATAACAGAGAAAAATAAACAGGCATGTATGCCTTGCATATTTCCAGCACACTAAAATCGAGTAAGAGAATATTTCCCCAAATATAAAATCAAGTTCTCTTTTGCTCTCATCAACCAGCCATGCTTTCGCTGTAAATAACAATTATTTGGGATAGACTTTCCATGTGACTTTCTCCCATTTCTACCCTGTCGTACCTCTTCAACTCTCAATGAAACATAATTTTTGTTGTTTGTTTTCTCACTTATTTGATTAGATTAGGAACTAGCGATTCTTCGTTTCTTGCGATTTTGTATGAACTAATGACATTCTCATATTTGGAAGTAAATAATTGCGTCATTAAATTTATTTAAAGTAATCTACACGAGAGTAACTCTCAATTGATGTCAATTAGTAGTTTTGATACCCAGTACACAGTTTTTCGTTTGTCACAGACATATTCAAGTTAATTTTATGTCTAATTTTTTTGGAAGCATTGGAACTGGTTTGAATTTTCTCGTTCTCCGTGACAGTAAAAAGAAGATGCTGATATTAATAAAATCAAGAAACCAATGTTGATTATAAACTTTGCTCAGCTGGCATCAAAAATAGTGTGATTAAAAAATCCAATGCTTTCACAATGTGATATCCACAAAACGTCAATCGAAAAATTATAACACTTACAAATTAAAAATTAAATAGAGAGAATCAACCACTAAACAGTGGAAAGACACAAAATCAACTGATATGCTTGTTCTGAAATCGGAAAAAAATATTCACATTTCGATTAACAAACTTTGATTTGAGAGAAAGATTTTGTTTCCACTATCAATTGAATATGAATTCATGGTCAATGTTAATATGTTCTACATAAATTTTTCTTTATTTATATTCGTTTGTTTTTAATTTATTTATACAAACTTTCATATCCATAATTCTTATTTTTCACATAATTTGATTCGTATAAATGTTCCAGTTTCTGTGCTCAACATATGAGATGGATATGTGATCACCTGATGCTATCATGTTTTTTTTATTACAGACATTACACTACATCAGATGATCCCATGACAATTTATTTAATCGCGACACTAAGTGACACTCCACCTCGTAAATTGATGCCTATACAATGCATTTAGTATTTCTCGTGAAATTTTCCACTTTTTGCACATATTTAAGAATAGTATAATTTATGAATAAACTTTAATTTACATAATTTAAATCAATTTAAAAGGAAATTTGCATTTTTTTCTACACAAAATGGAAATATGAACAACACAGAACCTATGAGAATTAGTGCTTGATATTGAGATGTAAACATTTCTTTCAAATTGATGTATAAGATGTTTTGACAATCAATCTTAGGATTAAAATTTAACACTTGATTCTCGAAGTAATAACGTATTTAAGCACTAAAGTTCATATGTTATCGAAGCATTAGTCTTCACTAGTTTTCAATTATTCTGTGTTGTTCGTATTAATTTTAAATTTAACGCATTAAAGTGTATTGCTTACTTCTCAGCATCACGTGACTGATAAAACAGTAAGTATCCTGTTTCAGATGATTTTTGAATATCTGAAGTTAAGCCATAAAAGTCTTCAATTGCACTAGCATCAATTTTATCCACCATATCATCATCGAACAGCAGCCAAAAACCATGACTCTTTACAATGCTAATATAATGACCACGATTTGTATTTGATCCGCAATGAATGACAACAGCCGTTAAATCATACATTCTGTCTGGATTTACAGCATCATCAGACTGAAATTAATTTAAATTATTAATGACTCAATTTTTCCTAGAAATGTATTACTTACAGTATTGAATAAACGAAGTTCTAGAGGAAAGACAACACGATGTGACACCTTAATATGACGATTATACTGTTCCATGTACTTAAATCTTTTTAAATGAAGTGCAAGAATCATTGGCAACTTTTTAACACGCATTCTTTTTTGAGCCTCTTGATAAGAGCAGCAATTATCACACTTAAATTTATTATCACTACACAATGTTTCTGTGTTGCTAAAGCATCTTAGACAGTGCGTAATAGACGTATTTTGATCAACATCAACTTGTAGATCGAAGAAGTTTTCATCCTTGCTACTGATCGTTTCACAATTTAGGCATCGAGTTTCACTGGTGAGAACACCTTGGAATATTTCGTGTACCCATGTTGGCTCAGTCGTTGCTGTATTGGGTGAATTATTATTGTTTGTTAAAGTTGATCCATTTTCTGTGATTGATACACCTGCTGTGGATGCTTTGACTTTTCCCTGATTTCTCTCCGCAAGAATTATTTCATTTATATGATTTATAAGGAAATTAAGGAACTCGTGTGCGTCTTGCTGCAAATTACGAAATTTAAAAGATGTAAATTTTTTTTGAATTTTATTGTCATTACCTGCATATAATTGTCAAACTCTTCTTTTTCCTTTCTTAGACGTGCTATGAATTTCTTCGGTGCAATTGAACCGACCTTCTTTTTTTGTGTCGCAATTGAATAAAATCTAAAACAAAATTTAAGTAAAATTGCGAATGAAGCCGAATTAATTGAATTGTCTGGATGTTATGTATGTGAAAACTTACAAATCAGCTAGACATGTTAACAGAGTTTCTTTATTTCTTTTGTTCTTCAACTTGTACTCAAGAACTTTGTCACGGAAAGGCTTACAAAAGTACAGAGCCTGTAACACAGAGTTACTATAGCAGGTGTTACCAAACTAATTACAAAAAAAAATTGAAAAAAATCGATTAGTCAAAACATTGAACATTTTTGCTTATTATATACTTACATTCACTAATCCAAAGTAGTGTTCATTTGCAGGGAAATCAGATCCAATGTCTCTTTCTAACTGTGATATATTCGTACCCATTTTTAGTCTATTTCTATCTTAAAATTATTAATTTAATAATTTTTGATTTTTCCTTGTTTTTAAGCAAAAGTAAACAAACGACTGATATTGATTTTTAAGCATAGTTGATTGAAACAGATGCTATTCAATTGAATAATTATATTATTTAATGAAGATTTTATCATAATTCTCTTAATATTTCCTTAATTATAGTGGAAAAGCAGATAAAAAAAACCGTTAAAACCAGATTTGAAACTGGGGTGCAACTTCATGTCATATGTTATAATGTTAGAATAAAATGCGCTAAGCCTTTATATTCAGGGGCATTCTACTTGAATTTTAAATATCAAAAATACGTTAGAAAAAGCTTCTGGAGCTTTTGATTATGAACTTTCATCCATCCTTTAAAGGTTTTAATAAACTATTGAAATGCATTGGATTTTGGCACATCTCCAGAATTTTTTTTTATTGATGACAAAACATTTATAATAACAGGTATGATAATTGATAATACTGTGGTTTGTATCCGTTTGTATCAGAGTTTGTATTCAAATGACAGAGTTTAAGTGCTGTTCAAAAAAAATCATCAAAGCGATTTCCAATCGTTTCTATTATAAAAAAGCTTCCTAATATAAATATATTACTGTTAAAGCTTTTGTTAAGATTGCATGGCATGTAATCAAAAGGAACTTTAACTCAAACATATATTTGTGTTGTAATTGAAAACTTTAAAACTACATCTTATTATTATAAAAGGAAAGTTCAAAATCAAAACCAATGGAACTAAATAAACGCGAAAAACTTTTCCTTTCCTTTTCATTTCTTGTTCTTTATGTTTGAAATGCACATTTTCCTGATTAAAGTTTTTCATTTTCGAGCGTGTTGAATTTTTCCGTCCTTGCTCTTACGCTGCATTCTTTTATATAATAATTATAGCTTCTCGCTCTATAAAATAAAGTGATGTGTAATTAATTTTTATGGTTCTTTCTTGATTCTACAACTCTTTCAACTGCATGCTTGAAAAAAATGCTTTTTTTTCGCTGAGTAATAATAGCACTATGACATGATTTCAATGGCTTAAAAGCACGCTATTTTTAAAAAAATAAATAAATAGGAAGGATGGAAGTGAAGCAAATAGGAAAATGCCATCAATATTCAACTCAATTGCGGGTGAACAGAAGGAAGAGTAAAGCGAAAAATCATATTGGAGCAACAATTTGTGTCGTGCGATAAAAATAAATAAACTATGGAGGGAAAGCTATTTTTGTGCTCAATAAAATTGAAAAATTTATTCATCTGTTCATGTTTATCACTCATTTTCCGACACATGAGCCGTCAAAGGCATAATCATCAAAATCATTTCAATAAAAAAATATTATTGCTGTATCGTTGTCCCAAATGAGAGAGGTCAAAAGCTTGTCACCTTTTTAATGTGTTTGAAATACGACACGTGTGACTTAATGTCTATTTATGCCAAAAATATTTTCAAACACAATTCTTAATTGCATATCCAACAACAAAATTTTATACTTTGCAAAAAGAATCATTCGTTTATAATGTCTAATTAGGAATGAAGGAGAAGCTTTTAAATATTACTAAGTTTTATTTAAAAAAACATGATGACAAAAAAGGTTGAAGGTACTTATTTTAAGGACGTCACTTTTAAACAATCCCCAACCACTAAAGTAAAATTCATTCAATATGATGAATTGTCGTCATCATGTGAAAGCATGGCTTTTCCCTTGTCTATTCTAAATGTTCATGAAACGTCTGCAAACATATTGAAATCCGGTGGTAAAATATTTCGGTTAAAATCTCTAAAGGGGACGTTCACTTATTACGTTCGCATTTTAGGGGGGAGGGGGGATTTGAAAAATTGTAACAAAATATAACAAAGGGGGGGGGGTGTCAAGAAGTATGTAACGTTCTAACTGTCGTCTGTCTTTTAAAAAAAAGTTCACGAAAAAAAATTGTTTCCAAATTCATACCAAAAACATTTTTTTAAATTTTCCACCTTTTTATCAAAGTAAAATAAATTATAACGTTCTTGAGGGGGGGGGGGGGGGGGGTTGTGAATTGTAACATATTGTAACAAGGGGGGGGGGGGGGGGGGTGAAAACATTCGATATTTTGCGTAACGTAATAAGTGAACGGCCCCAAAACCTCTCGCTTATATTTATGCATAAAAACAGTCAAACATTTTATCCTTAACGTAAACTTTTATGAACAAGCTGGTGTGCACGCAATAACGTAAATATTTATGATTGCGTTTTAATTGCAAAAAACATTTAATTGCATTATAATTGTTATCCACTTAATGTCATCATAACTCATTGTCAACAATGTAGGAGCTAAATTTTACTTACCGTTTAAGCATTATTTTTTCTGAAATTTAATACTTCCATTTTCACACTGGCCGCAATTAACTGATGGCTGGATGAATTACACAATGATTGATAATGTGTTTACATTAGATCAATGTTATCAAGATAGTTCCATAATCATCGACTGCTACTACTTCTCATACCTTAATAATTCTTGTGAGAATTTTTTCTTTTTCATTCACATGGCCTGACTGGAAAAGTCAATGTGAGAGGAGAGAACAATATACTCTGGAAATGTCGTATGATATTTACGATTAACATGCATTTGAGACAAAAGATTTGAGTGGAATTCTTTGGATGAGCAGCCACAAAATGAAAATGAAATTTGAGTTTCTTCTTTTCTTCTTTTTATTCACTCCTTATTGTACTGTAAATGAGATTATTGTATTGTAAAAAGAAGGAATGTTCTTAAAAATGATTTCTTTTCATAATAATCTCTTTATTTATCTTATTTTGCCTCATTCCATTTCCTTTAAATCTTAAAACAAATTTTCATTCCATACATTTTATAAACTATATTCATAGACTTTTAAGGTATAGATAATGACTCTTTTCATCTTTTATATGTTAGTTTTTAAGTCAGTATGTTTATGTTTAACTTTGATTTAATAATTTTTTATCAATTTAAATAAGTACATTTGTAGAGCTTACAGTGAGGAGAAATAGAAATTCTTAGGAAGCTTTAGGGGTCATTCACTTATGACGTCCATCAAATAACCTAATTTTTAGACCCCCTCCCCCCCTACCCCCTGTCACAAAAATTCTATAGAAAAAAATTTCCATTTTTTGAACTGTCACAAAATCCTAGATCCCCCCCCCCCCCCCTAAATGTCGGACGTCATAAGTGAACATAGTACTTAACTAGAAAAGTTTACCATTTTCTTTAAAACCCATTTGTAATCTGAGATTTTGTTGGTCTAGAATTATTTTCGGTAATTTCATGCAGATATTCCTAAAGATACGTTAAAATCCAAGTAAATTTTGGCATAATCTTTGATCAACGAGTTCACGATTAAAGAAATTGATATTAATAAAAAAGTTTTCATTTCCGTTTTAAAATAAAATGTCAAAACTAATATATTGAATTATCAAAATAAAAAAAATATTGTTATCTTAAGATTAAAAAGCAACATAGTTGTCGAGGAAGTATATAGAAGTATGAACATTTTCCGGTGTCAGATATTGCGTATAACGGAAGTGAAGTTGATTTGAATTAAATTAATCGAGAATTTCCGTGCATGTTGAAAAATATATTTTTTTATAAATCTCTTGCATGAGAAAATTATGAACTATTGTTGTCTACCACATTGATGAATTTCTCAGGATTGAAGCAGCAAACTATGAATAGCATTAAACTCTATAAAATTCATTTTCCATTCGCCACATTCAAATTCATAATTAAAAGCTCCTTCCTCAAAATAAATATTTTCCCTCACTGTATCACGTACCCTCATTACTCATTTATGATGCATCATCAGTATAACTTTTGATCTGAATTGTTAATACAAATGATATATAATTACAATTAATTTATTGAAGCTAATCAATTTTAAGTTCAAATACAAAGATGAAAGCTTAACATTATTAAAAAATTTTGACAAGTACTTTTATTTAATATTTTAATGGGGTTATTGTTTCCGTTCGTCGACGATATCTCCTTCAAAGAAAGATTAAGCTAATCAGACTCATTAATCCTCGCTATTCTTTGAGCATTTATTTAATGTAATTCATTAACTCCACTCAAATGGAAGTAGGAAAATAAATTAATGAGTATCTTTTAGCAAAAAATTTCTTGGTCTGAAATCTTATAAATATAGATTTTAATTTTAGCATCCGTCTATTTAATTTATTGCCTAAATAGTATATCCAAATTGTTCATTTAACTCTTCTGTACACAAATCTTTTTCATTTTGTGTCTATTTGTTTTGAGAAAAGTGTTTGTCATTTACAAAAGTTTTCGACATCAATTAAGAAGCATCTGACTGTTATTGCTGTTTTTCTATTGGAATCAAAACTTTGTTTTCGTATTCAAAAATAACAATTTTGTTTTGAAAAAACTTTTCTAATTTTACATTTTGTATTTTTAAAGTTTTTCTATGCACAAATTGAAGGTAGAGATAGACTGTAGACACAAATAGAAGCTTGCATTGTAGGACGCAATAACATCATTTACATCACAAATTGCTTATCATCTCAAATTACGGTATAATGCCAAAAGTGAAACTTTAACTCTTTCTTTAATTTCAATTGAACTCTATAGAGATTCAGAAATTCTATACAATTATTGATCTTTTGAGAATTCATCGTCTTCCAATTAAAATGCTGAGGAATTTGATATTAAGACAAATTCTTCGAAAAACTTTTCTTTTTTTTGGAAAACCAAAATGCTTTTGCAAGGGAAGCTCTTGAATGTAATTTTTCTGTTTCCATAATTCTGTTTGGCAAATAAAATTTTAGTGCATCAAAGATTTTGATAGCTTTTCAATAAACTTGAAATATAATTAAATTAACCCTAAAAGAAAAATGAGTATACTCTTACTTAGAATATACTCTTGAGTATGTTACGGTACCATGAGTATACTCACTTTTCTGTTAGGGTAAGCATCACATGATATACTTTTTACAGCTTTATTAAATGATTTGGAAATTAATCATAATTGATGCCTCATTACATGAAATGAAAGGTATGAAAAAAATCAGCATAGATGTCGCATAGCTGCAGATGTGATAATCTTTAACTCTTGCTTTATAGGATCCTTTTTTATATTAGCATTTATTCATATTCATTTCCCTTCAATTTATTCACATTTCCTCAATTTATTTATGCTATTTATCTATAATACACTTTGCCTTGACGTTGCCACAACAGAATACTCGCATAACTCTTAATAGATAATCAATCAATAAATAATTTATCAACGTGGCAACAGAACAATGTTCATAAATTTATCTCCGACTAATATTTTTAAAATATATATTCTGTTAATAGGCACAGTTTTTCATCTCTTCTTTAACTAACGTTACTTTCGAGACGAATTTTGATTATGTATGAAAAGAAAATTTTCTTGTTGAATGAAGTTCCAGACGGAGAAAAAAAGAAACAATTCAAGCGGAAAAGGAAAGCTCAAAATGCTTTATTTATTTGGCACAAAGAAGAAAATTGAAAAAAATTATGAACAAGAAAAAAATAAGGAAGGAAATTTGTTTCTCACTCAATATTTGATTATTGTGTTCATCCTTACTGAATCAATGAAAAATGGATAAATGTTCGATAGAATGGTGCTTAGTATTCACTGTGTAAAAGATATGCAAGTGAAATAAGGCTCACATTTTTTTATATATTCATTTTTTTTGTTTCCGAAAAACGGTTTCATGCCATAAATCTTTCTTCCATTACTTACTCTTTAGTATAAATTTATGTATGAATGCATAACTGCTTGTGTATACATATAAACATTTTTTTCGGATTAAAAACTTCATTCAAGTTACTACTTTCGTATTTAAATCTGTTTGGATTATTCAAGTGCACAAACGTGCAAAAAAAATATAGAAATTCTGATAACGACACATTGAACAGAATTGCAATGTTCTATGTACCTTACACTACTTGTTTTTGTGAAGCTGATAATTGGAGCTGTTATTTATGTGGGCAAGATCAGAAAAAAAGGGAATAAATATTCAAATTCAGATTTCTCTGCTTTTAATAACTTAATTAATATGATTCCTTCACTACATTATAGCTAATAATAGTAAGTTTCTTTTTAACATTCATTTTTCAAAATGACGACTTATTAAGTTAGTTTAATTAACAAATTAATATTTGAAATCGATTTTTCTTTAAAAAGAAAGCAAGATAAATGTTTGGAAGCTTGACAAAAGTTGTAGAGCTTGCTTTTTTCTATCATATGATCAAAATAGATTTTATTAAAAATGAGTTATTTTAGTTAAATTAACTGAAAACCAAATTGAATGTAGAATGTATTTTTAAATCAAAACTATTAACCTTAATCGGTCAAGAACAATTACTTGATATCTAAAGAGTCTTTTACTATTTAATTTACATTCGAAAAAGGCTTAAAAGTAAGTTAAATTAACTATAAAAACAATGAAATTTAAGTTGAGCAACAAATTTTGCTCTTATTTGCTCACAAATTTATAATTTTAAAACCGTTACAAAATTTTTGGTCAAATTTTTTACTATAATTTAATTTTCTCTGCTTGTCTTGAACAAAAAGTAATATTTCTTTTGCAATATGATAAACATTGTTGAATTCTATAGTTTGAAATGAAAAAATCAGTAGACGAATAACACAGCAATGACTTATGATTAGTTTTGTAAAACTCATCATAACTTGGTTAACTATAGTAGAATTGAAAATTTTCTCTCACAAACTTAAAGAAAATTACATATGTAACCTTTTTTGTAAAGAAAGATAGTTCCTAAACTATTTCCTTCATATCAAAATTTCAGCTTCAACATTTTAAAGCTGAATTAAGCTAACTTACAAATCCGCCATTTTGTATATTTTAGACAAAACTTTTAATGATCTGATTACTTAATTATCTGGTGAAAAAATCGTTATGATTAATGAAGTATTCGCAGAGATATTACATTTGCAACATGGTGTAAAATCGAATTTCCTCAAAATTGTTCGTGACGCTTAGCACTTTAAATTAATTTTTAATTATAATACAATGTCTAAGAGATACTTGTTATACACCAAAATATAGGTCTTGGCAAGGACTTTAAGAAAAACACAAGTCTTAAATACATATTTCGCATTATTGATTCAAAAATTGTAAATTATTGTTAAGCGTCACGAACAATTCATTTTTGATCTTGCCCATGTACTTTTTGCAAAAAGCACTGTAACCTTAAATTCATTTCCTATTATTTCATCTGCCACCAGTGGAATTACTGTGGAATTCTTTTAACAGCCATATCGATTTTTGTTTTCATTTTGTTTCTACAGCATTCTATATTTTTGCTTCTGATTGTTGTAATTTATATAAATAATGTGCAAAGAAATTTTCATCTTTGTCAGAGCGTCTAGCAGTTAATTATTAAACTTAAATTAAATTATATTTTGTAAATCGTTTACAAATCTATGTGATGGAATATAATAACCCTTCCATGTGTCCATTATGAAGTCAAGACTTGAAGCGCTAAAAATTGCACATTATTTTACTCTTATCTTCACCCTTTATGTGCAATTTTCATCCATTAAAACAAAATTAAAACAATAATGCATTGCAGATGCATGTGACTAGATAAAAAATGACAAGAATAATGAATATAAGACTATAAACAGTTCATTTTATGTCTATGTTTTTTTTTATTATTTTTCTTTGTTAACTTCATTGTATAAATCCTTCATTCATTTTTATTAAAGACTCAAGGTTAAACATTGACATAAGAGTAAAAATTTATTATGAAGATGGTTGTATACACACAAGCATACATCCACAATCTATTTGACGTGAACATAAAAAAGATTATAAATTTTCTTTTCTCTGTGAAATGCTTCAATTTGTTAAATAGAAGTTCTTAACGTGATGAATTTGACAAAGTTGGATATAGATAAAGTAGGGACATGAAGAAGAAGGTCAAGATACGATTAAGACATTTTTACTTTATGTGCCATTAAAGCACTTTAATAGTTAATCCAATTTCGAGTAAATTCATTTTTAAAAGGATTTAAAAAAATGTCGAGTTTTGTCATAAAATGAATTTTGGAGTAAATGTTATTAAACCAGTGATATTTTTAACATATCCGAGAACTAAGAGCTTTAATGTTACACACATCTTAGAGACTTTTCACCTTTTGTGGAAGCATATGAAGTTTTTATTGTTTAAATAGTTAATTCAATAGAGTGACAAAGAACGAGATGAGCTTTTAAAGTATAGAAAGAAAGCTAAATTGTGAAATAATTTTACGGATTTTACTCTGTTAAATGCAGTTGAATCATAAAATTGCATTATTTTAAGATAAAAATTTGAAGCAAAAATTTGTGCTTTAATTAAATAAAAGATGAGCTTTAAAAATAAAATAAAATAATTCTACCATTTTGAGCATTAGCTGTATTATAAATATTCTAATATATGTCACAAAGAACAAGGACATAATACGTGATAATATACGAGTGCAAATACTGCAACACTGCCACAATATCAAAATATGAAAATTTGCTAATTAGAAGCAAGGAGCAACCGCAGTTTTGTAGAATGTGGGCTTTTGGTGTATTGTATGTATGGTATCTGACAAAATTATTTTGGCTGTTGCTATCCTCGTTCTAGATTTTGATGTTAAATTTCTATACCAATTATAATGAACAATAATTTAAAAATTTTCAACTCTGCGATCTAATGCTAATCTTTATCGGGAACGTTTACATATGAAAATCTGCAGTTCGAGTCCTTTCAAAATAATTAATTCGTTTGAAAAGAGAAAAGATGATTATTCATACAATTAAAAACTTGCAACCTAAATCTAGTTTTATGAATAAATAATAAATGGAAAATTGTCGACACTCTTCATTCATAATTCATATCTATGGCTGATTGATGAATTAAAATTCAACACAGTTTCTCATGTCTGAATCATAAAAATGTATCCAATGAATTTAATTTATCATGAATTTTTGGTGAAAATTGAATTCTGATGATGCAAACTGCTTGATATTTTTGATATTTAGATAATATTAAGTTTAATAAAAGAAATAGAAACAAATTCTTGATTCAAAACACATTCGCGCTGCTAATTAAGTTAATTTGCAACTAATTATCTCGAAAAGCAAGAGTTAAAATAAACATTTACACATGAAATGAACTCAAAACTCTGCAGAAAATCTTTTACTTGCAAAATAATGATTTATTTCGGTTTTACTTTTGTTTACTTTCTTATCAGAGCGCTTACAATGTTTACAATGAGATGTATTCACAAGCAACTCAACCAAATTGCATGGAAATCCAAATGTGATTTGAAAGAGGTTATGTGAAATTGTTTCAAAAAAACCTTTTTGTTTTTAAATGCTATCCCGTTTGCATCATGCTGAGTTTATATAATTCTTATTTCAGTATAATTATAATGATATCTTATATGCATGTATATATGTATTTTTATTAAAGTGGATTTTATTCTGAACACGTTTTTCTCAATTAAATTTCCTATTTTGTTTTCTTTTCTCCTAAGGCGTAGACAATTGTCTTCAAATAACGCTATATCAAAGATTTTATGAATCGAATCGGATGATAAAATTTCTCGAAGCAATGAATCTTAATTTCCGTTTATGAGCTAGACTAATAAATCCGTAAGATATTCAATATTTAAAGATGATATTATTTTTGAAATCATAAAAATCAATTTTTAAATAGACTAGATCTAGACTGTAAAAAAATATTAGTGTCAATACATAAAATAGCTTTCAGAGGAGCTTTCAATATTAAAAATGCGAGATGTTAGGTATCTACGCCTTTAAAATGTTTTCCTTATAGCGAAATAAATTTGCCTTATATACGACATGCGATGCGTACATAAACACAACATAAAAAGGTATATAATTATTTCAACAAGGTTTTCGTGCAGATAAAGAGAAAACCGCAACACTTCCAATTGGGATATGACTTAAATTTTGCTCCTTTTTTTCAATTATTCTGAAAATTTCTTCTTCCACAATTAATTTAATTTTAATTTAATTTAATTTAATTCTTCATAAAAAAACATTCAACTTTATATTATAAACAACATGATTATTCATTTCCTATTAAAATAATCTTTTCTTAATTTAGAGTTTTAATTAATTAAATCTTTATTTTATTATAATACTTGCGCATTATTATCGTTAAATTTGATCACAAAATTGTAGTTATTTGAGCATGATGCGAATTGTCCACATGAATTTCCTCGAACATATCACGATATTGTGACGTAGATGGTTGACGTAAGGATGATAATGCAATGCCGCTGTTTTTTTGCTGATGGCTGTCGTGATGATGATGATGATGATGCGTGGAAGAAGATGTTGACGCTACTGCCGTTGACGAAGAAGATTTTTTATTAGTATTACCACTAATTCCGCCTGCTCCAGTTGGAGTTACACCATAAACATTACCACCAGTCTTTTGCTATGTGTGATGCTGATATGAGTAAGAGTGAGTCATCGACATAGTGCCTGCACCATATGATGAATCCGTTTTTGTAATTTTATATGAATCATAAAGAGGAAATTCGCAGCAAATAATAAATTTTAATGCCCTCGGCACTTCCATATAAATTGATGTCGGTATGGGTATTAATGGAGATGTACTGAATTTGTATCGTCGATACTCTAAGCTTCTGTAATATGATAACAGAAAGAGATGGGAGGGAAAAAAATAAACACTATACATTAACAAATGCTCTTAAATCGCATCAAATTTATCATGGGAATAAAGGAAAATATCTTGAATAAAGCTTACTCTTTATATTTCTCATCAGAAACACGTTCACGAACAGGAATACCAGACAGGAACAGAATAATTAAAGTCGTAAATATTGGTGATAAAATTGCGATCCATTCAATACCTTTAATAACATTTAGCGAGATAACGAACACCCCCCACCACAAAATTATTTCACCAAAATAGTTCGGATGACGGCTTATTTTCCACAAACCTATCAGTGAGAGAAGCAGATGCAACAGTAAAAATCGCGGTCAGTAAAATAATTTTTTTTAAATAGAATAATTTTTTTTATCGATTTTTATTTGTGTGGGCATGTTAATTGGGCTATTATGGTAAGGTAGCATCATTGCTTGAACCATGAAAATGTTATGAGTACTAAAATCTTTTGATATAAAGCTAAATTAAAGAATATTTTAAAGCAGAATTTTTTCTAGTTTCTGTTAATTGCCGATTTACCAATAAATAGAATTTAGATTGGCAATTGAGCACATAAAAATTAAAAAAAATTTACATAATAAACTTTAATGATTAAATTGATCCTTTTCACAACATTCAAAAACATTTTAATGTCCAATTAAAGTTAAAAATGAGAGACAGAAGGCAACTCATGGATAAAGTTTCATGATACAAAAATGTGAGGATAAATCATTTGAAAACTTACCATCATTGCAAAATTTTCCTTGATTAGCAGGATCCTGACGAAAGGAAAACTTTTGCAAGTCGCTGTAAGTTTCTGTTAACAAGCCAACAATAAACATCCCACTGCCAGTCGAGTCTAGAGGAGTCATCGTTCTTGGTGCATTCGGTTGTGAGTGACGTGGTGAATTGACAATTATGACGGGCAATGAAACGATAAAAACCCAAACAGCCTGTGTTTTGTCAACGAGAAAAAAATTGGAATGAGACATTATCAAATTTATTGAAAGAGAAAAATTAAGGTAATTTTTATGCAATAGGATACAATGTTAGCAAAGATAAGAAGAATGAGTAAGTTTTAGGATTCAAGATCAGTTTTTATGATAGAATGTCACAAAAGCTAACAACAATGAACCTCTCATATTGTTCCTTGATCATTTATCATAGGGATACAACGTGACAAAATCTATTATTGTTTTACAATGAAAAATGAGTTTTGTCACTAGGGAAGACCTCTGGAAAATTTCTAAGGCTACAAAACAAAAATCACCCTTTTTACGACCTTTAAGCCATATAAATAATCTTCTTAAAAATAAAGAAAGTCAAAAGTTTAAACTTGCTATTTACCTGAAATGTCCAGAATATTGCGAATCGTATGACATTACGCTTATTATCCTCAAATTGTTTATCTCTACCAATCTTAATAATACGATACAATAAATATGCTGATAATCTTGCTCCCCATAAGCACACAAAAACCGTCACCATCAGCTGCCTCGAATCATAGTGCTATAATCGTAAAATAAGATGATAATAAATTATATTTCAACTTGAAATGTACTATGGCAACAGTTAATAATAGGATAAATGGCAATAAATTTATTTGCAATTTGTTATTATTCGTTTTTTCCTTTATTTGTTGTCAGACAGTATCAGATCAAAAGCTCTGGCAAAAGCTTTCTCCCTCTTCCTCTCTTTCTCATACTTTTCGTCAAGTTCACCTTTTCATGCTTTTACTTCTCTATGCTATATCTATTATTTTAACCACCACCATCATCATCATCATCATCAGAAGAACATTGAAAATGTATTTTCGTATTCATCAGGCGTTTGTCTACATTCTATTGAATTCATGCATGTGCTTATTATGTTTGTAAAATTTATTATCCATCATGTTGAATCTACTTATATAGTACGTTCGATAGCGTGTATTTTACGACATTATGATGTTATATATGGATGAAATAAAATTAAATGATGCATTTATTGATTTTTGATATTTCACGAGCTTACTTGATTCTAGTATTAACCTTCAGAAACCCTTTTCCATTCATTTATTGCCTTTTAGCTACTAAAAATATCTCAATTGAATATAGACAAATACGAAAAAAAGAAAAGGAGAGATAGCATGGAGGAGGTGATGATTGGGTTATTGAATGATTTTTACTTAAAATAAAAGATTGTTGTCACAGCACTTGATTTATAAACAGAATAATTATGTTTGAGATTACAACTTGTGAATAAAAAGATTATAATATTCAAAGAAATTTCAAATGAGATTGGATTTATAAACTTTCAAAATTTTTGAATTGAAAGGAAGAGAACTTTTCCTTTAAAATGAATAGTTGGACACGTATTATAGCTTTAAAAATATCTCAGAAAATAGATATCAAGTTCTTGATTGTGTAAATTTAAAGTAAGAGCAGCAGACGTTTCTCATGAAATACACAATTTCCTACCGCATCATAACCATGCATGGAGAGTTTATTCTTTTGTTTACCCTATTTACCAGTACACAATGATTCAGAATCGAAAAAAATGTTCAAAAATTAAAAAATTTCATGTTAATTAAACTATGTCCTTTAAATGCCAGATTAAAGATCTTAACTTGAGGCATATCCTATGAAAATATCTCGTCCTAATTTGATGTCTAACTCCAGAAATCATTAATTTAATCTCACCCAAAATTTGTTTACAATTTGTGTATGAAAAAAAAAATATGATTTTTTCTACTTTAGGTTGTTATTTGGATGTCTTGGAAGCAGTTGCTAGCTAATTTAAGCTTTGCTTTACATATTAAAATAACCAACTCAATAAAAATCTGCTTATTAAGCCTTAAAAATGGAATTGAAATCTGAGTATTTTTACACAACTTAAACTATTCATAAGTTAAAAAGTCTTCCAAAGACCTCTCTGAAACCTATATAAATCCATTAATTAAGTTTAAATCTATCTCCCATATTACTGGGGACATGCCGTTTGATGCCGTTTACGAGATATTTGCGATCAAAGTTTACATAAATTTTCATACAAAATTTGATCATGCACAATATTTTTTGATAAACTTTTACAAACTTTTGGTAAAAAATCATGTCTTTCCTTTATATTAAGGACTGATTTTTTGAGCAAAGAACGAAAACATTATCTAGAAGATGCTAAAAGAATCAAATCAAGAGAAATTAACAAAAACTTCCAATTTTCTAATGTGTTGGAAAAATATTGTGCACAAGGAATTTTTGAACATTTTTTCCGAATCTGAATCATTGTGCAGTAGAAATTCTTGTATGCTTTTATTTTAACAAATATCCTTATTTGTAGCTTTGTTTTTAAAAATATATATTATCTAATCTCAACTGATTAAGGGGCTGTTCACTTATTACGTAACGCGAAAAAATGACTTCTTAGACCCCACCCCCCCCCCCCCCCCCCCTCGTAACAAAATTTGTATGAAAAAAAAATTTCCTTGTTTGAACCGTAACAAAATCTCAGACCCATCCTGCCCCTAAAAGCGTTACGTAATAAGTGAATGGCTAAGCAAAATACGCAAAATACTGAAAATCAATTGCTTGTATTTTTTCTACACTTTATGGATTGTCGTCTGTATAACAAAACCTTTGAAATTTTATTAAAAATTTTCGTAAAAATGCGCAAAAATACTCAAGATATAAAAAGACATTTTTCTGTACTTGAACCGATTCTGTAGTTTTCTACTTGAGTTGAGAAGCTTCATATAACAATAAATCCAATAGAGAGAAAACACGAGAAGAAAGAAAATTATTGAAAAAAATAGCAGTTTGTTAAAGGATGTAGAACTTAAGCTATTCATGGTGATTTTTCAACCGTAAATAATTTTCACAGTCGATTTTGGTTTCGAAAAAATGTTTATATAGGAAGCTTCTTTGTCTGCTTATTTATAGATTTCTTTTGAAATGTGTCGTTTAAAAATTAGAGAAGAATATTGAAATCTTTTCATGCTGCAACATTTTTATTCTGTCTGAAATGTTCAGGAATTTGAACTAGCAAACAGAATTTTATTTTTCAGAATATAAATCGTGATAAAAAATTATTCGTTTAAAAATAAGAATTGGAGATATTTTTATGCCAAAAATTTCTCACGAATTGCTCGGCTGAATATAAAGTTCTGTCAATACGATTGAGTAGTAAAGGTTAAAAAAGTATTAATTTGTATAATTTATTGTTCTGATTTCCGCGTTCCTTGACACAATTTATTATTTAATTTTTACGCTTATAAATTTTTGATGATTTAACATGCACAAAAAATGATAAACTGAAGCTGAATATTTTTCAATTTGCACGTTCTCACAACACTTATTTTTGTTCTGTGTGACTTATGGTGAACACTTGTTGATGCCGAGTTGACATTGGTATTGAGCCAAATCTGGCATCATCATTTTCAGTGTCGACTTTATGAGATTAGTGGTTTAAAAGCTAACAAGCATTTTCATACAAAACTAATCATAAAGCTTTTAAATAATTATTAAACCAAGAAGTTTGTTTTCTTTCGATAATAACAGGAAAAGCTTATTGGAACTAAAAATCTTACAGCATAAGAAAAAGGATCACAAAGTTTTGAACTTTTATGATTTCAGTTGATAAATAGAATTTTCAACGCATTTAGTGCAAAACCCAAGGAAACCTTTAAAAAATCTAATATAATAACAATTATGTAAGAAGTGAACCAGTAGTGTAGACAGAAATTTTACTAAAATATTTTCCAAGAGTATAAAAGGTTTGAATCCCAAAACTGAAGTAGACAATACAAAAATAATAATTTATTCGGGTCCTTTTGTTTCCTATATGTTAAAAGGATTCTTATTTTCAAACAACTTCACTTTTGACACAGATACTTTCGACTTTGAATAACAATTCAATTTAATACCAAACTCAAGTGTCTTCTTGCAAACTTTCTTATTTCTATGTAAATTGTACATTACATCACATAGTAAATTTATAATAGATGAAAGAAGAATAAAGTATATGGCGTCTACCGAATACAATAGATGAAAATCACATCGGGCCATTCACTTATTACGTAACGCTTTTAGGGGGAGGGGGGGTCTAAGATTTTGTTACGATTCAAACAAGGAAATTTTTTTTTCATACAAATTTTGTTACGAGGGGGGGGGGTCTAAGAAGTCATTTTTTCGCGTTACGTAATAAGTGAACAGCCCCATGACTGTTCCCGACTTTTCATATTAAAAATGTAAAAGTTGTTGATTTTTCATAGTTTTTAAAAAATACTCTGAATATTTTTGTCATTTTATCTCCATTTTAATGCTCTGCATTATAATTTCAGTTGTTACATTTTTGTATAATTTTTTGTGTGGCTTAATATTTTATTTAAATAAACACTGTTTTATTAAACAGTTTGTATCAAAATTGTATGCCTTTATAATTCTGTTGATTTTAAGCCTTTTAATTGAATTTCCATAAATTGCATCAATCAATTGATTGAATTTAATTCCTGATAATTTTTTTTTTCTGTTTACTCATAATTTGGCTTCCTGGATACAACATGCTTGTTGTGGAAATATCACAACAATAATTCTCTGATGCAAATTGTACGAAAAGTATCATCCTAAATAATCAGCATGCAAAGGAAGGAAGAATATGTTGCAATATACTTGATTAAAATTTTCTGCTTCTTCTTCTTCTCCATATATTTTGCACTTTCGTGTACTATAGAGTATCTGTTTCTACTAGTCTTGTTATTATTATAAACTATTCTATCGTGTATACATTGAGTAAATACAAGTTTTGAATAATAAACCACTTTGAAGCAATTTGAATATATTTAAACATAGAAACATTCCATGCAGCATGATCAGAAGAAAATTCCTTGTTCCTAAATGTTCAGTATATTTATAATGTTACAATTTTTGTCTTTAAGTCTTTTATGGAAGCTTCAACATGATTTCAATTTTATTAATGCTTTATGGGACGTATATGCTGAATTTTCGCTTTAGGTCTTTAGGGATCTCTCGAAATGAATTGTTGAATAATACTGAAGAGAAAATTAAATGCTGAAACATTTACTCTTAAAGCCAACGCTTTCCTTGAATTAGAGATTGCTCTGTTGAACTGTAGAGATGTATGATTTCTTCTGCTAAACCTCAAAACGTTTTAACAAAATTAAACTGCAGTCATAAAGAATATTCATTTTTCATGTTTTATGAAGAAAAATTGATATTAAAATATATATGAGGCTTCTCAAGAAATACTCTAGATATTTATGACTATTGTAGTCTTTTAGAGTGTATGGCATAGGTAATTGAAATAATTGAAATACTTTTAAACGGTTTTACACATTTTTACATTAATTCGATAAACTCAGTGCAATGATCTAATAGATAGATAGAATTAGATATAGAGGTCGTTATACACGAAAAGACACTGCGAACATAGATCTGTTGTACCAATGATCTGACTGTTAAATTTATTTATTTTAAATTGGATTCATGATGAAAGCTATTTTCAAAGAATATATTATTGGCATACATGTTTTGCGAGGAAATTTATTTAACTTTCCATATCCCGAAATTATGTAAGTGTTATGTAAAGAGTGCTACAAAATACACAAATATTTTAAATTTACGTATAATTAATATGTATAATTAATATAATTAATAATAATTACAGTATAAAAATGTCTATTTGAAAATGATGTGTTTTAAAAGAAAAATGAAATAATTTTGAACACAAGCAGCCAGAAGAAATAAAAAATCATATACCTATGACTTTTTTTTGTTCCTAAACTAATCAAAACTTTTTATCCTCAACATATTTTAAAAGTTTATTTTTAAACTTCCTTGTTGTTGTTGTTGTTATTATTGCTTTTGTACATATATCATGTCGAGTCTCGAGATGAAAAATTTGAGGTGATTAAAAATCAAGAATTCTTTCACTTTGTGAGAGAGAAAAAAAAAACTTTTTTAAAAGCTTTGTTGAATGCTTTTGTTGTGGCAATCTTTCTTTTTTCGTGAAGTGAAGAAGCTTTTTTTTCTTGAGTGAGTATTAAAAGCTCTTAAATTATTCAAGTTTCACTGAGATTTAGAGAGAAAGAGTAAATGCATATTTCACAAAGGTTTATAACTCATTTATGAATATATATTTATTTAAATTGGGGGCCGTTCACTTATTACGTTCGCATTTTAGGGGGGAGGGGGTTTGAAAAATTGTAACAAAATGTAACATAAAGGGGGGGGGGGGGTGTCAAGAAGTATGTAAAGTTCGAACTGTCGCCTGTCTTTTAAAAAAAAGTTCACGAAAAAAATCTGTTTACAAATTCAAACCAAAAGCATGTTTTTAAACCTTCCACCTTTTTAATGATAAGGGAGGGGGGGGGGGGGGGTCGAAAAAAGTCTTTTTTTTGCGTAACGTAATAAGTGAACGGCCCCTTGCAAATATTTCAGGATTTTTAAAAGCAGCCGTCGTTTAATATAATTATTCACAAAACCTAGTATTGACATAAATTTTACTGAAAATCTTGTAATAAGACTTTTAAAACAATTAATTGAACGTAAACATTCTCGATTGATCATTTATCGATTTTCAGTCAATTAAACAAAACACTTACAGATTCTCATGAAAAAATAAATCGATAATTACATTTCATAAAGTGAAATAATCATATAATTGAAAATTAAATGACCGAAAATTTCATCGAAATTAAAAAAATAGGAAATGAAAAAAAATACAAAATTGCAAGAACTTTTGAAGAAGGAAATCATTTTATTGATTTGACATTAAATTGCCATCGAATTTCATAAAATAAATTTTCATGCCTTTTTTTCAAACTCACCTTACTCTTACGATTTATTTGACCTAAAAAGAATGTGAGAAGAGCTACTATAATAAAATTAATTCCGCCTGCAAAATCTGTCAGTTTATCCAGTTGAAAAATTGCCGCAATTAAGAAGAATATTAACTGGATTGTTAATATTGTAATTCCTGTGAATTTTTAAGACGAAAAGAATTAGAATTGAAGCATATCCAGCCTATCGATAAATTGATGAATCAATGAGTTCATGCATATTGAGTATCTTATTGTCTAATGTTAATCTGATGTTTATTTTAAAAGGCTATATCATGGAGTTTAGCACATCTCCCACCATCTTTCCTTTCCCTTTCGTTGAAAATTTATCTGTGTTTAAACTTTGATTCGACATGCAAATATACACTTTTCCAACCTTTTATCGTATTTTTAAAACTTTGCAACTATCTCAGTTCTCATTGTGAATGTAATTCATGCCTAAATACCAGACTGGTAAATTGTACATATATCAACTCACTAATGTTCAAACCACTATCAACAGCAAACATTCATGACTTTTTTTTTTCAAGAGGATCCTGATTCTGTGCCAAGAAAGTTCGAGCAACAGAGTACGAATGCAAATTATCCATAACATGGCAGTATTTATTGAATAGTATGAAAAATTGTTGATAACATCAACAAATTGACACATTGAAAATTATTTCTATTTATAAACTTTTTACCAAAGACCTTTTCTTATGTCAAAAAAATACATAAACAACGCCAGACAAAGTTTCTGTAACGGTCGACCTTTCAGAAATAAGTTCTACCATCTACCTTATCACACAAATTTTTTTTTTAATTTCAGTGCTTTCTTCTTTGTTATGTGCTATGTCTGGCGAAGAAAAAGTTATGATAGTCAAGAACCCACCCCCACCCCTTGTGCTCTTCAACAAGTTTGACGTGTGTTTTTACATGATGGAAGTGTGAAGGAAGAAGCAAGACTCTTTACCCGAAATTGCAAAATGATCGTCGTCTAAAAAGTATGTATCCATTTCAAACGATTCCTCTTGTTATTCTCACTGACTGAATGATTGAAAATTTGTTATGACTTTTTTCACATATGAACTTTAAGTAAATTTTCTTTTCTTCTTTTTCTCTCTTTTCACTGCTCTCAACTGGATATATTCGCAAAACACAAATGTTTCTCACATAGTACTATAATTGTTTGCTTTCACGTGATTCATTTACATAGTGTGGAAAATTATTTTTCCATTTTCATCTCAATTTCATTTTACTTGATACTTTTGAGGTTTTTCATTTATACAAAAAGTTGTTCACTTTCAATTTTTTTATTTCCTTTTTTCACTTCTGGTTAATATTTAATTTAAAATATGGAGGAAATCATAAATATTTGTGATCAATAAGATTTTCACATAATCAGCTGTTGATTTTCACACAATATTCCCTTCATTTCAAACATTTTAAAATGATTTTAGTTGAATTTATATTTTGCACAAATTTAATTATATTTTTGTGCGGCCTTACTATTACGATGCTAATCACGAACTGAAAATTTTTTTATTGGTTGAGTTTTCCCAATATCAGATTTTCTCGATTTTTTGAGAGATTTTTCCATTTTCCAATATTCCAACCACGTGTGAATGTCGTTAATTTAACGATCTTATAATTTTTGAATTTGAACGATAAAAGAGCTTTCAGATTAACGAAGTCAACTTGTCATCGAAATACTTATAGCAAAAATAATCAAAACAAACCAAAATTATGCAGTAAAACAGAAGAATTATAGTATAATTAATACAATTATGTCAATAGTTTTGATTCGGAGTTTATATCGGCAACATAGATTTATAAGACAAGTACCGGTTGTCCATAAATTACACGTAAATTTTTCTAGGTAAGTTGTTAAGTAATAAGAAAAAAACCTTTTGATAATTTCTTTGCCTTAAACATTAATTAATAGTGATAATAAACCAAAAGTGTCTGAAGTGAAATCTCTAGTTGATACAGCCGATAAACATAAGAAATACAGTCGCGAAAATGTTCGTCTTTATGTTTTTACAAGGTTCTTTGACTACATCCAGAACTATGATAAGGTGCTGGAAAAGAATTTTCCAAGTGCTATGCATGTCTATCGTGTATTCATGATCGGCGTTAAAGATTTCTATGCAGATATGAAGAAATTTTTCAAAATAACTACTATCGCTAATAGCAGAGGAATCAAAGCATTAACAAGAAAGGAAATGGAACTAATGCATCAAACACCAAAAGACATAATGAAAGTTGCACCTGTGTTGCTTATTGCCGCCCTACCTTTCGCCAATTATGTGATATTTCCAATTGCGTAAGTTCCACAAAATTTTCATCAGATTTATGAAATTTGCCATACATTCATGCCATTTGTAGATACATGTATCCTCGTACATTTCTTACTTCACACTTTTGGAATCTTCAGCAACGAGTCGAATTCCAGGAACTATACCTCAAAGATCGAACACATTATAACAGAAAGATTTTCCGGAAATTACAAGAGAGACTTGACTCTACCAAATTATCAAGATGTCATAAAGAATTTAACTATGTATTAGGACTATTAGGAAGTGGATTGCATCCTTCATCGAGTGAAATCATTGAAATTAAAGATATTTTTCTACATAGACCCTTTCATATCGACAGTTTGTCATCATCTCATTTAGTAAGCTCATTTCAGTATTTCTTTTTTGCTATTGAACAATGACCTTTGTAGCTTGAATGTCAAGACCTTCTTTATATTTCACTTCTAATTAACATATACTTGAGAATTCTTGATGGCACATTTTAACATCTCATCTCATTTCAGACATATCTCTGTAAGCTTCATGGCATTCATACTTTGTATTTAAAACGAGTAAGACTTTCCGAGCACTGTTACATGATGCATAATATGGACTTAGCGATAAAGAATGAAGGTGGTGTACATAATTTATCAATTGATGCTTTAACAACAGCTTGCTATTTACGTGGATTAAACCCTGTAAGTTTGCCACAAGAGGAAATGATTCAATGGCTTCAAGAATGGCTAACAGTTTCCTTAAACATTGGAACTGAATACATCAGTTTATATATACATTTACCAATTCTATTGACCTATAATCATCCGAATAATTGGAGATTGACTCATAAATGAAAACGGGAATCAAAGAAATAACTTAGTCTAGTCTGTTTGTCTTTGTTTTTGGAAATAAATCATTTTCTTTTTATTTTATTAATTTATTGGCATCATAAAGCTCTTTTCCATAAAATTTGAACGACTTGTGGATTACGGAAAAAAATAATGTTATCAGCTACTTACCGTAACATCCGTCTGATAAAGAAGCGTATTAAAAAAAGACAAAAATAAAAAAAAATCACAGAAATATTCTGTTGAACTTAACGGAACCAAAGCTAAATTTTGATGAAATCTGGCAATGAAGGAGCAGTCTTGGTAAGCTTAGGTATATTTTGAATTACTTGAGACGATGAACTAGATTCTTCAAAATACCGTGCATCTGTTGTTGGTTGCGGTGTAATTGGAGTATTCGATGGTGCTGGAACTTCCTTCTTTTTTCCACTTTCAGCCTTACTCTTCCGTACATAAGAATACTTTTTACTTCCATTTTCCGGAAAATCATGCAGTAAATTACACTGAAAAAAGACATTCCATAGACAATTAAGATAAAACATATTTTATATTACTTACTTTGTCCGCTAATGGACAATAACCCTTGACAAATTCTACACAAAGCTTGGTTCCATCAGTTAACTTCTTATGAAGATACAAGCAGTTTTCCTTAGTCTTTAGACACTGCCCTTTGAGATAATATTTGCAGACTGGCATTTTATGAAGATTTACATTATGCGAAAGAAGGCACTTTTCATGTTTACATGATCCTTTAATAAAATTTGGACAAACAATAACGTAGCGTGGATCATGAACTTTTGAGCACCTTCCATTTGCATAAGCTAGACATTTTCCAAGTCGACGATAAACTGGACATATCATATTCGTAACTTTAACACGCTGAAGAAGTGTTATGCTTTTAGTTTTAGCCATTGTTAAATGATTTCTAACTTGATGACTGTTGTCTATTTCGTACGATCCGTTTGAAGCTTTTTTCTTATATGTTAATCCACCAATATCAATCCTAGATAGATTCTTATCAACATTCTCACCATCACGTTTAAGTTTTGTTCCTGAAGAATCTAAGACGAATTTTTGACCTCTAATGATGAGCAACTTTTCATTCGAAGTCGTTGCTGGAGCCTTCTTTTTCGGAGAAATTGAATTCTTTTCAAGCTTATTATTTGTTGATCGATATAAAACACCATTAATATTAACCATTAACATTTTCTTGTTCTTTGATGATGAACGACTAGACGAATTGTCCCTAGAATAAAGATTTTCGATTTATTGCGCAACAGTTGTCTCTTATAAAAAATTATGGACTTACGACTTTAGTAATTTATGGCCAGTGACGAGAACTTTTTTTGGTGTAAGTTTCTCAGCAGAATCAACTCGACGTACTGAATATGTACTGACAATTCTCTTTTTCTTCTTCCCTAATCCAGGACTTGATTTGGTCCTATCCAATTTGTAGATTGATTGCTCAGCTTCCGACTTTTTCATTAGCTTCTTTGTTTTTATGATTGATTCTGTAGCCTTTTTAATTTTCTCGTTTTCCTTCTGCTGTTCCTTCATCAAATGTGAAGCATTTACTAATTTTGTGTTACTGATTTTAATCAAGTTCATTTTCTTTGCATAATTTACTGGAACTGACTTTTGACCTTGAGCAATTTTACTATCGATTTTAGCAGGAGCTCTTATAAGAGATCTTTTAGTATTCTTGATAATGGCATTACTATTTAAAACTGGAACTATTGGTTTAGATTGTGCTATATTTATGGCCTGAGTTTGTTGCTGCTGGAGACTTTGTTGAGCATTCATATGTTGCAAAAATTTTGGATTCACATGAATTGTATTTGAATTACTTTTCAAGAAATTCGGATTTATGTATGCATTCTTAAATTTTGGATTTATAAATATCATCGTTGATTTTGGCTGCTGCTCCATTATGATTTATCTACGATTAGATGATCAGGACATTAATTTTTATAAGATTTTTCAAAAAAGCACTATAACGTTCTTTATTATTGATGGCTTTAATATATTTGACAATTAGAAGTACTTATTACACTTTAAAATATTTTATTTGATACTTTCTGTGAGTTACAATAGGTTTAATTCAATTAAAATGATTTGAACGAAATTAACAATGAAAAATTTTAAGCAGTAAACAAAAAGCGCTCTGAAAACCTCTCAAATGTCAAATTCAAATTTGAATTGACAGCTACAGTTATTAAGAGCTTTTTGGGAGCTTTTGACTGCAAATAACTCTATTATTATTATTACCACGTTTTTTATTATTATTATAATTACCACTTTTTTACCACGTTTTTCCTAACTTGCTTTCTTATTCTTAACTTGCTTTCTTATCTGTTTATCTGTTTGTCGAGGTCAAATCTTGCGATCAATTTTTCGACCACTTCTACTGAACCAATCGAGCTGAAATTTTGCATGCACTTATCTTTTCGATGACAATACAATATTCAAGCATTTTGGAAACTTATTATATTGTATGTTTGGAAAGCTTAAAATTCATATAAATGCGACCACGTTTTGAGATGGAGAACTATACGATATGGTCGAAGTAAACAAATTTGCAATTCATGTATGGTCATGACTTTAGTTTGAAACTTTCAAATCAATCTCAAATTTTCAAACCAATATCCTTTGAACCCAATAAAAAAGTTATTTTCTACTTTTTTGTCAACGGGTAAAAACGTGGTTTTTTTTATAAAGTATACCGAACATACAAAGAGCATGCTCAGAAAAGTGAGCATATAAGTAAGTCTACTCAAAAATTATACTCATGCAAGCTCATTCAACTGAGCATGCTCAGGAGTTCATTACGAATGTACTCACTTTATTTTTTTACAAAAACTTTATAAGCTCACATGAGTGCATTCAATAAGTATACTCTTGAGAATATTAAGAACATACTCATGTGAATTCACTCATATGAGTTCACTTACTGAATATACTCAAGAGCATATAATGAGCCAACTCACTTCTGTGTCACACAATTTTTTTTATATTCTCATATGAGTTCACTTACTGAATGTACTCATGAGCATATAATGAGCAAACTCACTTCTGTGTCACACAATTTTTTTTATATTCTCATATGAGTGCACTTACTGAATGTACTCATGAGCATATAATGAGCAAACTCACTTCTGTGTCACACAATTTTTTTTATATTCTCATATGAGTGCACTTACTGAATGTACTCATGAGCATATAATGAGCAAACTCACTTCTGTGTCACACAATTTTTTTTATATTCTCATATGAGTGCACTTACTGAATGTACTCATGAGCATATAATGAGCAAACTCACTTCTGTGTCACACAATTTTTTTTATATTCTCATATGAGTGCACTTACTGAATGTACTCATGAGCATATAATGAGCAAACTCACTTCTGTGTCACACAATTTTTTTTATATTCTCATATGAGTGCACTTACTGAATGTACTCATGAGCATATAATGAGCAAACTCACTTCTGTGTCACACAATTTTTTTTATATTCTCATATGAGTGCACTTACTGAATGTACTCATGAGCATATAATGAGCAAACTCACTTCTGTGTCACACAATTTTTTTTATATTCTCATATGAGTGCACTTACTGAATGTACTCATGAGCATATAATGAGCAAACTCACTTCTGTGTCACACAATTTTTTTTACATTCTCATATGAGTGCACTTACTGAATGTACTCATGAGCATATAATGAGCAAACTCACTTCTGTGTCACACAATTTTTTTTATATTCTCATATGAGTGCACTTACTGAATGTACTCATGAGCATATAATGAGCAAACTCACTTCTGTGTCACACAATTTTTTTTATATTCTCATATGAGTGCACTTACTGAATGTACTCATGAGCATATAATGAGCAAACTCACTTCTGTGTCACACAATTTTTTTTATATTCTCATATGAGTGCACTTACTGAATGTACTCATGAGCATATAATGAGCAAACTCACTTCTGTGTCACACAATTTTTTTTATATTCTCATATGAGTGCACTTACTGAATGTACTCATGAGCATATAATGAGCAAACTCACTTCTGTGTCACACAATTTTTTTTATATTCTCATATGAGTGCACTTACTGAATGTACTCATGAGCATATAATGAGCAAACTCACTTCTGTGTCACACAATTTTTTTTATATTCTCATGTGAGTGCACTTACTGAATGTACTCATGAGCATATAATGAGCAAACTCACTTCTGTGTCACACAATTTTTTTTATATTCTCATATGAGTGCACATACTGAATGTACTCATGAGCATATAATGAGCAAACTCACTTCTGTGTCACACAATTTTTTTTATATTCTCATATGAGTGCACTTACTGAATGTACTCATGAGCATATAATGAGCAAACTCACTTCTGTGTCACACAATTTTTTTTATATTCTCATATGAGTGCACTTACTGAATGTACTCATGAGCATATAATGAGCAAACTCATTTCTGTGTCACATAATTTTTTTATATTCTCATATGAGTGCACTTACTGAATGTACTCATGAGCATATAATGAGCAAACTCACTTCTGTGTCACACAATTTTTTTTATATTCTCATATGAGTGCACTTACTGAATGTACTCATGAGCATATAATGAGCAAACTCACTTCTGTGTCACACAATTTTTTTTATATTCTCATATGAGTGCACTTACTGAATGTACTCATGAGCATATAATGAGCAAACTCACTTCTGTGTCACACAATTTTTTTTATATTCTCATATGAGTGCACTTACTGAATGTACTCATGAGCATATAATGAGCAAACTCACTTCTGTGTCACACAATTTTTTTTCTATTCTCATATGAGTGCACTTACTGAATGTACTCATGAGCATATAATGAGCAAACTCATTTCTGTGTCACATAATTTTTTTATATTCTCATATGAGTGCACTTACTGAATGTACTCATGAGCATATAATGAGCAAACTCACTTCTGTGTCACACAATTTTTTTTATATTCTCATATGAGTGCACTTACTGAATGTACTCATGAGCATATAATGAGCAAACTCACTTCTGTGTCACACAATTTTTTTTATATTCTCATATGAGTGCACTTACTGAATGTACTCATGAGCATATAATGAGCAAACTCACTTCTGTGTCACACAATTTTTTTTATATTCTCATATGAGTGCACTTACTGAATGTACTCATGAGCATATAATGAGCAAACTCACTTCTGTGTCACACAATTGTTTTTTTTATATTCTCATATGAGTGCACTTACTGATTGTACTCATGAGCATATAATGAGCAAACTCACTTCTGTGTGACATAATTTTTTTATATTCTCATATGAGTGCACTTACTGAATGTACTCATGAGCATATAATGAGCAAACTCACTTCTGTGTCACACAATTTTTTTTATATTCTCATATGAGTGCACTTACTGAATGTACTCATGAGCATATAATGAGCAAACTCATTTCTGTGTCACATAATTTTTTTATATTCTCATATGAGTGCACTTACTGAATGTACTCATGAGCATATAATGAGCAAACTCACTTCTGTGTCACATAATTTTTTTATATTCTCATATGAGTGCACTTACTGAATGTACTCATGAGCATATAATGAGCAAACTCACTTCTGTGTCACACAATTTTTTTTTATATTCTCATATGAGTGCACTTACTGAATGTACTCATGAGCATATAATGAGCAAACTCACTTCTGTGTGACATAATTTTTTTATATTCTCATATGAGTGCACTTACTGAATGTACTCATGAGCATATAATGAGCAAACTCACTTCTGTGTAACACAATTTTTTTTATATTCTCATATGAATGCACTTACTGAATGTGCTCATGAGCATATAATGAGCAAACTCACTTCTGTGTGACATAATTTTTTTATATTCTCATATGAGTGCACTTACTGAATGTACTCATGAACATATAATGAGCAAACTCACTTCTGTGTCACACAATTTTTTTTATTACTTACTGAGTTTATTCAAGAGCAAATTGTGTACCTTTTTTAAAAATGTCAGCTAAATCGAAAACGTTAAAATTGGTGCTCAATAAGATCCAAACTTCAAAGAACTTAGTTCGCCTGTAAAAATATAATAATTTAAGTATGTGTTATGCCATATATAAATTATTATATATTTACAGACAATAGATCCAAGGAAAAGTGTGAGATGACAGAAGTTAAGCAACGCAGAAGATATTTCAACAAGGATGGGTGACCAGATTTATATTGTTAGATACAATCAGGGGCGTAGCCAGGGGGGGCCATAGGGGGCCCGGGCCCCCCTACGAAAATCTGATAATTGTTTTATTAAGTATTTATAGAGAAGAACCAGTTAATGTAGAGGAAGTGATGAAAGATTTAAGGATACAAAATAACGTTATTTTTAATTTTCGAAAATGGGCCCCCCCCCTTAAAAATTTTCTGGCTACGCCCCTGGATACAATATAATGGAATATTGTTAGAACGGACCTGAAAAGTATCACGTCACGCCTACAGAAGATCGAAACGAGAGCCTTAGTTTTTTTGAAACCTTGATATGAAGATTAGAACTTTGATCCTACATAATATTAATTCATATGTATACAAATACAAAAGTGTAAAATGTGAATTATTACCGGACAGTATGTCTTCAATAAATGCAATAAAATATGTTTCAATTCTAAGGATTTGGGATGAGATATTAATAATTTCTAACTCTTTCAAAATTATTCACAGAAATAAACGGAACAGTACTTAATTTCAGCTAACCTATAATACTCAAATTTAGCTTAATTAATTTTTTGAATTTTGCAACTTCACTTGAGTGCACTCATGAGTGTGCTCAGATGAGCATATACTCATAAATATACTCACTAAGTATATATTCTTTGAGTACGTTTATGAGTATGTACTCTTTGAGAATATTTATAAGTATGTACTTTTTGAGAATGTTCATGAGTATATTCAATAAAAATGTTACATGAGAAAAATGTTGCATGTGACATGTTAGCTTCTCATTTGAGTATGCTCATGAGTTTACTCAATGAGCTTAATACATGTCACATAGGAATGTGCTCACTGAGCATGCTCAAGAAGGTACCGCAAGCGCATCACTGAAATGTATGAAAATGAGCACATTCTCACAAAGGCTAATAGGCTCACAAATAATGTGCTCTGAGCATGCTCATTGTATGTTCGGGTATTTTTATAATCAAGAGACTGATCAAATGATTTCGTCCAAAAAGCCTGAAAGTATTTATCTGAAACAGTAAAGGAATAAAAGAATTGGTCAAGTAAGTAGCTATGTTAAAGAATTTTATTTCAATTTCATGATAGTATACATTCATTATTTTGACTCAAAATTTGTTTTACTTAAACTTTATTCGATGTTTAAACTCTTTAAAAAATAAAATAAGTAATTTATGCCCAAATTAATCTTTTGTCGTCTATTCAAGCCAGATATTTGCAAAAGCATCCAAAAAGAAAAAGGAAATCATGTTTAATTACTTCTTTTAATGACAAATTAAAAATTCTATTTTAACAAAAAAATTGTATTCATTGAATTATCACAGCATTTGATATAATATCAAACTGAGGCTTTTTTCGTCGTCTATTTTGTTTCACTGTCATCGCTAAAATTCGCAAAAAGCATTAGAAAAAATTTAAAAAAAAAATAAGTGAATGAGCCAAAAGTGATAATTTTTCACGTTAATTGTTTTTTGGTTACTTTCGTATACGATCAAAGGTTTTTACAATTTTCTTTTACTTTATATTTTTTTACCTTAATACTGACTTGAAATTTGAGCAATGAAAGAGAAATTCATATTTTTAAAATATATTTAACTGGTGTCTGTTTGATAGTAAGTTGTGAGTAGGAATTGTTGTTTATGATTAGCTATCACAAGACACCTATAAGAAACAGAGTTGATCAATGGATGTTGGATGGCTTAGTCTATGATATTTTATTTATAATTCAGAGTTAATTGTTGGTTTAGACCATTTTATTATCGAGTAGCGTAGCAAAGTTTTTTTTGGCCCCAAGAGTCGGTTTTTAGGGAAACGCTAGTAAGCTTAATTTATGAAATTTGTGCTCTTTTAAAAGTCCTTTTGAGAGATTTAATATAACTTCTTCCTAGCTACACTCCTGAATTGAGAACAGAGAAGATCGAAAGCTATGTTTTACTATGAACATATAAAATGTAAGATAAATTAATCAGGAGTAATAAAGGTTCTATAAAATCTAATCCTTAATTGTGAATGATTTTTAAAAAGAACTTAATTAAGTCTTTAAACCATCCTTTACACGCAAAAAAGTGTTTTACTGACATGGAATATATAAATATAGATTTAAAAACCTTATTTGTGCAGAGGTACAAGTGCCATACCAAAAAACAAAAATATCCTTTTAATCAACTCTGGAAAGAATAAAAAATAAAATTTCCCTTGCTTTTCAAAATGTAAAAAGAAGTAGGAAATTAAAATTTTTTACATTTTTATCTTCTCATTATTATTCATCATATTAAAAATCATAAAAATTAGTACGTTTATTGAGGTAATGAATTTTCTGTTTCATTTACGTATACTTGTTTCTTTGTATTTACTTACTTAATTAAAGACTGGTAGACGTGATGTGACATCACTACTTCCTTTCATTTATGGAAATAATTTCTCTTATACATTTTTTTTTAAGTTTTAAAAATGATGTTGATCAATTAAAATATATATATATTATTTTTATATCATTTAATAACGAGACTCATCAAGAGACATTTTACGTATATCAGTTTCATTTTTTTTCTTCGTATTCAAATTGTTATCATCATCATCGTAATTTAAGGAATTAATTTACAATTTAATCTTTAATAAAATATTTTTTTTTCAAGTAGTTTCTTCATCTTTTTTCTTCTATTGCATTAATTATTTTATGTTTCATCATATAAAGCATTTTTAGAAATCATTGAATTTATGGCACATTAAAGAGAACAATTGAGATTAATCTTGTTTTGTATGTGTGTGTGTTTTTCGTTAATATCCAAAAATATTATTTTGGTAAAGGAACATTGGTAAAGGAAATTGTGGAATTTTTTTCATAGAGTTTTCTTAGATAAGCAGTTTAGTTCTTGGGTTGCTAATTAATATGAACACCCTATCTCTTTCGTACATTAAGAGTATTTTTATCAAAAAGAGTTAAGAACTCCTATATTGATTATACACTGCAGTTAAATTGAAAAAAACCAAGAAACTCAAATTTTCTTTAACAAGAAAATTTAATCTTAATTTTAAAAAAAAAATTCCACAATTTTCACTCCCCATCGTAGCCACAACTTCATTTCTTATAACTGCCTTAAATACTATAATTTATTAATATAATTATTATTATTTTTTTTTTATAATTATTCTGAAAAGTTTCTTTACGTATATTTGTTACAAATTTTCCATTCTTAACTTTACCATTAACTTTCTTTTTAATGGCAATTTTCATCAGTTTTTTTTTCTTTTTTTAAAAATGACTTTAAAGAATTTCGTATACACAAAATTATGATAGTGGATTTATCTCTTCTTATCAAATACTATTAAATTTATGTAATTGCAACTTAAGAGTTTCAAGTTTTTCGGAAGCATTTTTTTAATAAAAAAATTATTCGATTTAAAATGAGAGTGGATAGGGTGGGTGGTCATTCAATCTATCTGAATATTCTTAAGCAATATTATTTGTCGTCATGTAGAAATTATTAATTGTTGAGGAATGTTCCATTGAATACAATAATTTCTTACCTCGTACGTATCCACTTCCATTTTAAATGCCATGGTTCTTAATAATTTCAATTCACTTTTTGCAAAAAATAACATTAAAATCCTAGATGATTTTAAAATAGTATACAATTTTTTTTTTCTCATTATATTTCCTTAAATTTCATTTCATTTCTCATCTAAAAGTTATTTTGGTGGACGTTTTCTCATAAAGGTTTTGTGTCTGCATGCAAAAAATTATGTTTAACGTTGTTGATTAACAAGTAAAGCGGCATCATCATTACTTTCATCGGAACTATAAAATTGCTGTTGAAGTTTGTGCTGTGTCACAATGGCCAATAATCTTTCGGAATCCATACGATTAATATTTGCACTTATATTTTCAATGTTTGCATCAAGCTGAATTGGATGCTGAGAATTTGATAACTGTTCACTCCAAAATCGTTTGGCTATCTGCTGATCTGTTTGTTGCTGTTCTGGCGATTTTTTGGTATTGGCTAAATTAAATTTCTTCAAAATTGTTTTTTCCATTCTCAACTAAGTTTTAATAGAATTGTTATACTTACACGAACTATCAGACGCGTGCTCCAACATTGGTGTCAATATGCGTCGTCGAGCATTGATAAACCAATTGTTTACTTGTAAAAGTGTCAAGTTTGTTTGTGCAGCTATCGCACGCTTTTCATCTTCGGTCGGGTAAGGGTGCTATATATGTGGAAATAGAAAATAAAATATGAATGTGCAAAAGTGTTTCCGTTGTGAACACGAAATGATTTATTTATATTACCACTAAATGCTGAAATAGCCAAGCCCTCATAACACTTGTTGCATGTTTCGGTAAAATTCCACGCTTTTGACGTTTCGAATGCAGCGAATAATTTGATCCCATTTCGTCGGCATTTGACTCTAGTTCTGAATCAATTTCTTCTTCTGAATCACCGCATGACGGTGATAATTGAGCTGAATATTGTTCGAGATTTAATGGAGGACATCCTATTTGACTAAGTGGCGTTGATCCGAGAATTTGATGTGGATGGGTTGATGGAATTCCGCCACCCACAAGTGATGCATTTGCACTGGCTGCTAATATGGGAATATTAATTTCAGGATTTGATAAATTTAATGAACCGTCCATTCCATTTGGAGAATTTAAATGATTTGTGTGCGTTGCGCGATTGTTTATGAAGCCATGATTACTATTTCCATTGTTATTTGAGTAATCTTCATTCGTATTCGCTAAAAAATCGCTGTTGCTGTTATTATTTTGAAAGAAATTTTGCTGATTCGATAATGTTTCCTGTTCAATGAAGATCCACAATAAATGTCCATGTAATTTCAGATTCTAATTTATGGCACTAATATATTTTACCTGATCCACGGGACTATTGACGGGACTATTTGAGTTAGACATATTACTATTGCTTATATGCTCCATTGGGTAATCAGATCTTAATAAATTTTCCGATTGCATTTTGCCACGCAAACATGCTATATAACGAGTGCAGAAATCTCGACATAACTCTTGAACTTTCTCAAGTTCCAATAGGTGAATGCGAAGTACTTGAAGAGCTTTTATCATAAGCCCGTCTAGTTCTGGATTGTTTGTTAAAAGTGGACGTTTTTCTTTCTCTAATAGTTGTACAAAAGCCTGTAGATTAATGGAATGAACATTTTGGATTTTCTGTCAATTGAGTTGTTTTGGATTTAAGCACATCGTTTAAAGAACCTTAAATTCTCATTAAAAGAATTCATTTAGGGTCAAAATCTGTTTACTTACTTGAATATCTCTAGAAAAACTATCGCTCACATTATTGTTCGTGGACCCGTCAGGACTTGAAGCAGATGATGAGTTTGATGATGAATTTGATGCAATATAACCTTGTGTTGCTTGCTCACATTTTTCCAACAGCAGTGCCAGGAGTGAAAAGAGAGGGTGTCTAAAGAAAGTAAATTTTATATTATTAAGAATTCAATAAATGCTCAAACAATCGATCTTGGAGTTCATTAACAGAAAAAATTGAATATCAATGAAAGAATTTAAAAACATTTTTGTTTTTATTGTTTTGTGAATAAATGCACGAATTACAACTTTTTATATTTTAAATGAAGCAGATCGTGAAATGAATTTCCTTCAATTGTCGTTCTATTTGTTGGCAATCAATTGAGCTGAATTAACATTTAGCACTTGCCGTCAAATGAATTAATTAAAAACTTTATGAGGGAACCTTACATTTGAATTCTTAAAGTTCATTCATCCTTCCATTCTCTCAATGAATTTCAAACATTGAAAAATGGTGTAAAATTTATTAAATTTCAAAATACTTTCATACATCCAGCATTGCATCATGCATATATGTACAATTTTCTCACTCAATTGAGCATTGAGAATGAGGTGGAAATATCTATGTCTTCTTTTTCTGCATAAAAAGAGGAGCAAAAATATTGTATGAAGAAGAAAAAAGTGCACATAAATGCATAACGCTTTTTATTCATCAAATAAATATTTCATTCGTACAATGAAAATTTTATTTTCTGCTCTTCTTATTTTCTCCTTCTTGTACTATTTTTTGCTTGGAATTGCATGAAAAATTGAATAAATAGTAAGAGAATAAATTTTATTGTTTAACAGAGCCAGAAAACGAGTTGAAAAAGTGATCACATAAGTAAATCGATTGCAGCGCATACTGATAAATCTTTACTTTATTAAGGTGTCCAAAAAAATCTTTTTTAAATTAAGAAAGTAGTCAGAAAAATTATTGTACTAGAGAAAATGCAGCTAATGCCAAGTGAACAACAATGTCAGCTTTATCACAGTATCTTGAAGAGCTTTTGAACATGAGAACTTGTATGATTGCTCATATCCGTGAAGAAATTGCTCGGCGACTGACAAGTAAGCTAGTGTGAATGTAAATAAATATATTTATATGCAGAAATTTATTCTCTAATGTAATTCATATTGAGAAAACATTCAATTTATGGAGATGAGCATAAGAAATACTATTGGGGTGAATGTAAAGTACTGCAGCAAGAATGTGCATCCATATCTTTTCTATGTTCTAATATTTTTAAAAAATTCCACCATACTTCAATTTTAAATGTAGTCAATGTATGCTTTAATATTCCCCTTGAGCCATCTGTAGAATTTCAGGAAGACATTAACTTGTAATTTGCAATCTCCATCGATCTCATCGCATGCAGCAGGAAAGAAATTTCTGCTTTCGATATGCTACTAAAAATTTCAAACGCTCAGCAAGTTCAGAATGGAAAATTATGTATTTCGATATCTCATTTCAACTATCTATGTGTCTATCAATGGATATATGTATGCTTCAGAAAGGAAAGAAAATAAGATGAGATTGAGAGACGGAGAAAGCAAAACTAATGAGATTCGGTAAAATGTGTGTAATCTTTTTTATTTCAAGCATTTTGATCGAATCAAAATGGATTTAAAGGAAAGTATTTTGAATCGGAAAATAGAAACAAAAATATTTTCTTTTCTCCTACCCTTCCTTCTCTCGATAATAACATTGATGATATCCTCTCTAACTCCCTCTATCAAATAGACAAATAGACACAAATTTTTTTGATACTCAAAGCTCACCCTACACTTCAATAGATATATGCTCATACATGTATATAAAATAAAAAAAAACGGAGTGTTTGGGTGAAGGGCTATTTTTCTATTTATTTTTATTACATTTAACGTCCACTTACAGTGATAGAATTTCTGTTCGAAAAAAAAGTAAAATAAAATAGTAAATGCAGACACGGTTCGTAAAAGAAAGATTGAAAATCGTATCATCATCATCATGGGCATGTGCTGAATTTGGATGGATCATCATCCATACACACAGATATCAATAGATTTGTGTGATAAGTTGTTGAGTGGGAGAATGTGAAAATTTTCGATTTAATTTTTAAGATAAAATATCTTATTAAAAATTGTCTATGTGTCCCTCGACAATTGCTTGATTATTTTTCGAATTACAGTGTGAAATCAAATTGAAAGGGTTGTCTTTAAAAGAATGCAATTTTACCTCAATCTTTATAATTTTCGATTTATTCCATTTCATCTCCTCATTCACAATAAATTTAATTAAGCACTTATTGCAGCTTTAACTTTCAAAGATCATTGACTTATTGTGTCTAGCAATTTAAAATTACAGGGAGTCAAATATCGGTTAATAGAGGTTGATGGACGTTATTTGTGAATAACTCCTAAGCTAACAGATTGAAAATTATAGAATGGATGAACGAACCAAAAGTCATGACATAAACTTTTTTGCACACATAATTTTTTTTGGATAGTTATTATGCTCATAACATCCAACAACTGAACTTCATATAAAACATTCATCCTTTTAATCCATCCATATTCTAAACATTTATTCATTTATCTATATGATACAAGCTACTCACTTATATACGGCACGTTTGTCTGCTTCAAATTGTGCTTGATCGATATCATTTGCATTTGATGTCGATGTATTTGTATTTGATGTAATATCACTTCCTTTCTCATTCCCTCCCGTGGGTGATGTTTCCGATGATGACGATGATGGTGATGGTGCGGTTACTGATGTTATTCTATTTTCTTGCATTTTTGTTTTCTTTTACAGTCTTCATGATATTCAGAATGAAATGAGAAAAGAATAGTTTAAAGTTTTCATAGTTTTGTCTTGTTGTTGCCACTGCTTAAAACATTTCAAAAGAAAAGAACTTAAAAATTTTAACACATAAAACTTTTTCTTTCTGTTTTTCTCTTTCCTTCTGATTCGTGCCGGAAAAAGCAAAGCAGAATCGAAAGAGAAGAAAGAATAAAAAAAAAGATAAGCGGAAAGGGGTTACTGAGGAGGAGTAATAATAATAAAAATTTATGAAAGTTTTGCAAAAATACAATTAACCTTGCACTCACTTCAGTTCCTTTTGCTTCGTAACGACACAACAGTTCAGTTGTTTTCTTCTTTTTAAATGTGTGCAGTGAAAAAACGCAGTAGAAGCAGCAAATGTACCAGTGTCAATAGTAAGGACTTGTCTCTGCTCTATATATTATTGAAGAAGAATATGAAGTAAAATAAAAGTAGATGATGATGATAGCGGGAGACAAATAGTGGTGGTAATGATGATTTTTTTCTTCTTCTATCCACCTCAACCTTCTTAAAACAGTCGTTGTCGAAGGAAATATGATGAAGATGAGAAAAGTTTTTCAGTTGAAGAACAATTTTAAATTTTGATAAAATGTCGCTGCTCTCGTCTCCATCCTTCAAACTTTTTTCTTCTTTGATATTGCTGTGCAGTTCCTTTAGTTTCCTCTAAATCTATGAGTTTTACGTATGTATGTGTGAGTGCAGATGAAATGCTTCGGATTTTCTCTCAATTTTTTTAAAACGAACAAGAAAGAAAAACTTTCTTTTAATCTCCTTGTTTTCTTCTGATTAAAGTTTCGTTTGTTTCTCAAATCTCAAAGTTTTTTCAGTTCTCAACTTTTCAATCTTCGATTAATAAGGTCGTTTTTCATCTGAAATTTATTTAAAAAATGAAAAAGTTTTATTAGGAAATTTCAAATTTGTAATTTATAGAATAAGATGTATGTAATAGCTTAACTTTAATGAGCAGGAAAAATCAAAATTTATTTAAATGATGAATATATTGAGATTTAATATGGGATGTAAATTTTCATTATGTAATTTCATTTATTGATAAGCAATTAATTGATAAGGTTATTAAATATTTAAACAAACATTTAAATATCAACATCATTAGTTTATTGTCATCAAAAATATGGAGTAATTGTCGCTCATCAATTTTTTATTCTTTGTTATGCTCATAGCTGACTAAGATCTCCAATAAACATAACGGAGGAAAAATAACAAAAGTAAGTTTTACATCTAACATGCTGGTCTCCGACTTGTTAATTCAATACAAAATTACAATGCCAATTTAATTAAAGCAAAATGTTAAGAGTTTATAAAGCATCTCATTTTTTTTTCATCTGCATTATGCTGAAAATATTTCGTTCCTAGTAATTTTTTTCATAATAAAATGATTTGAAGATTTTTGGAAACAAGAGTCCTCAGAAAGAAAGATTCGTGAGTTGGACAAAAGAATTAAAAATTGAGAATTCTAGTTTTAAAAAAATCAACTTCCTAATTTGAATTTTTTCAATAAACTTAAAACACCATTTAAGCTACAAAGTACAGAAACACAGAAGCATGAGTTAACAGTAGATTAGAATTCATGAATAAAACTGATAAGAATTATTTTTTTTTGTCACTTAACCAACGTGAAAATTGAAAATATTTCACGCCATTTGAGAAGGTTGTAATCTCCCATAGTTCCCACAGCTTTCTTGTAAAGGCATGGCTTTAAAACTTGTATTACATTAAGTTTGTTGGGGCCATGGCATGTAAATTTGAATATAGATAGGGTGTGAAAAATGAATAATTTAATTATGAAATTTATCTCTTGACGCCTTTTTCGTTTTCCCGAAGCGGAACTAACGAAAAAAATTTCTCCACTGTTAAAATTTTTTCTCATTTTATTTTCTATTTTGTGCTTTTATTATTTCAGAGAATTCCAGCACTTCTTTTTTCTTTTGTTATTATAGTTTAAAATATGTATAATCTAGCAACAACAACAACAAGCATTAGAAATGCTCAAAAGATGTAAGAATTAAGCGGCAATAATTGTTTGTTTCTTTTTCATTGAGCAATGGAAGCAAACAGGCAGCAACAAGAGAGCAGTTGAAAATGAATAATTAAGAAATGTGTTTCAACCCTTTTTTAAACCATTCAATGTTAAGTCTGTCTAACCAAAAAGAATATTTATCTCATTCACTTGCTTTTATCTTACGTGGGTAAGTAATATTCATATAAATACGAAAAACAGCATCAATTGGTAAGGGATAGGCAGGAAAATTTTTTATGGCACGACAAATTTAAACATTAAAGTCGTTGTCTATAGTTTAATATATCCTTTAAATGTGCTCCCGGGCCTGTCTCTTGGGATTTTGTTAACTCCTGTTCACATTTGGTTTTGAGGAATGAGTGTCGCTATTTAAGAAACATCCCACTTTATGAACCGGTTAATGTTCAATCTTTTAAAATATTAAAGAGAGTTATGATTCTTCTAAAATTCACAGTTGTTCTTTAGTCCTTAATACATTTCACGGCTGCTGTGTATCAATTTTGTTTTATGAATTTAATTATGTGATGGCAGTTTTATTAAATTGTTAAAATGCTCCTTCTAACAAAAGGTGCGTAAAATTTAATGACTTTAAGGATATTTTGAAAGGAACAGAAGTTATTGTCTTCCATTATCATACTTCTTTCTGGCTTTATTGATTTGATACTTTCAATATTTTTGATTTTTACTACCTCAATCTAGAAATCCTTAAAATGCAGCTACCATAATATGCAGATAGTACTGCCAAGATGCAGATGGTACTGCTAAAGTGCAGATGAAATTTATTTTCCCTAAAATGCAGATGAAATGCTGTTGCTTTAAAAAAGGTATAATGCAGATGATTTTTATCGTATAAAGTGCAGTTAAGATGCTGCCCAAATGTAGATCGTATAATTTTATTAAAATACATCATATTCGATGACTTTTTTTTTTATACGTATTAATAAAAAAAAAAATTCCATACAAATTTTCACCTTCAAGTGATTTAAAATCCCAAAAAAATCCCCATACAAAATGATTTAAATCATAAATCAAAAATAAATCACTTGGGTAAAATGAATTAAATCCCCTCCATGCTAATTACATCAAAATTTTGTGTGGCAAAGTAATTTAACTTTTTCTGAACTTTTTTAATAACAAAACTAGTGTATGGGGTAGAAACCCAATGCGGATATATTCGCACCGTACCATCAAAAGTCTTGTGGAAAGACCAAGCTTAGCTTAGTATTAATTTGAAAGTATAAATCCTGACGAACCAGCTGAGCTGTGCTCAGCATATGTTTGGAGGTTTAAAGCTTAACGAGCATTCTTTAAAGTTTTTTAAAAACATTTTTCATCCAAAGTTTAATTTTATAAAAATCACAGTCAACTTTTGTTTTAAAAAATGTGTAAGAAAGGAAAGTTTTTTGTTTTTTCTGAAGCAACGACTGTTCCTACCTTGCCCAAAAACTATACAGCTATTCTATAGAGCAGAACAGATCAAATGTAAAAAACTAGAAGTCTCTACGATGTCTCGTTATTGAGATTTCTTGCTGTTTATCTTGCTTGTTTGCTTGCTTACAGAAAGCGTATTTTGCGATTTTCTCAGCAATGCTGCAACCAAGGGAGCAGCTCAGATCAAATGTAAAAAACTAGAAGTCTCTACGATGTCTCGTTATTGAGATTTCTTGCTGTTTATCTTGCTTGTTTGCTTGCTTACAGAAAGCGTATTTTGCGATTTTCTGAGCAATGCTGCAACCAATTTGAAATCTGTTTTTTGCAAAAGATGTGAAATTCCAGGCACAAACTTTTCATCTCTGAACATTTTAAGCTATCTTGTTCCATATCCTCACAAAATTCAAAAAACTGATTTTTCAATCTGAACAAAACCAATAGATTCACACGTGAAAACAGTGTGAATATAATTACGCGTGAAAACGGTGTGAATATAAAAAGTTTCAGAAGTAAAGTTTGTACTTGAAAGTTTACATCATTTTCAAAAAACAGATCTCAAATTGGTTGCAGCATTACTGAGAAAATCGCAAAATACGCTTTCTGTAAGCAAGCAAACAAGCAAGATAAACAGCAAGAAATCTCAATAACGAGACATCGTAGAGACTTCTAGTTTTTTACATTTGATCTGTTCTGCTCTATAGAATAGCTGTATAGTTTTTGGGCAAGGTAGGAACAGTCGTTGCTTCAGAAAAAACAAAAAACTTTCCTTTCTTACACATTTTTTAAAACAAAAGTTGACTGTGATTTTTATAAAATTAAACTTTGGATGAAAAATGTTTTTAAAAAACTTTAAAGAATGCTCGTTAAGCTTTAAACCTCCAAACATATGCTGAGCACAGCTCAGCTGGTTCGTCAGGATTTATACTTTCAAATTAATACTAAGCTAAGCTTGGTCTTTCCACAAGACTTTTGATGGTACGGTGCGAATATATCCGCATTGGGTTTCTACCCGATACACTAGTTTTGTTATTAAAAAAGTTCAGAAAAACTTAAATTACTTTGCCACACGAAATTTTGATGTAATTAGCATGGAGGGGATTTAATTCATTTTACCCAAGTGATTTATTTTTGATTTATGATTTAAATCATTTTGTATGGGGATTTTTTTTGGGATTTTAAATCACTTGAAGGTGAAAATTTGTATGGAATTTTTTTTTATTAACACGTATCAAAAAAAAAGTCATCGAATATGATGTATTTTAATAAAATTATACGATCTACATTTGGGCAGTATCTTAACTGCACTTTATACGATAAAAATCATCTGCATTATACCTTTTTTAAAGTAACAGCATTTCATCTGCATTTTAGGGAAAATAAATTTCATCTGCACTTTAGCAGTACCATCTGCATCTTGGCAGTACTATCTGCATTTTAGGGTAGCTTCATTTTAGGGATTTCTAGATTGAGGTTTTTTACTTCACAATCAATCAATTTTAATTTAAATAGACACAAAATCTTTGTTTAAATTTTAAGAAACAAAACTTTTCGAATCAATTTAAAGTTTTAATTCATAAAAAAGTCTGATTCAACTTGGTTTTTATCATCAAGGTCCTACATTCATTTTGTGTACACATTTAAATGCAGTTTAGTGTAGGAGTTAAATTTAAATGTTCATTCATCGTGCAACATGACTCTCAAGTCTTCATCATCATCATCATCCTGAATGGCATATCTTTCAAAGTTGTATAATGAATAGCGTACAAAAAAATTTTACGTACAATAAAGAACACAAGAGAGGAGATCTGAAGAGGAGAGGAAGAAGGTAGATTGGATAGATTGAAATAAATCAAGTGGTTTTATGGCAAGCATCAAATGTCCAATGTGCATTATCGTACATCAAAATGAAACATCAAATGATTGAGTAGATGTGCTTATGTGCTCATGACATTTGTATACATCCTATAAAATAGATAAATAACAAACTCATCTTTAATCCTGCATGATTGAAGGGAATAATGTGAATATTTAAAACAGTTTTGATGCACACAAAGTAAGGTTTTGTTTTCTATGTTTATCTTTTTGCGACAAATTCTGAAAAGGAATATTGAATTGGAAAAGGTAATGTAGAAGTTGAATTCATCTCCTCCAAAAATTTTGAGGATATGACACTGGTAATTTATAGGACTGTTTATGATCAATTGTAATTTTTTTTATTGTTAACTTTATTGTAACCACGTTTTAGAATTGCTGATTCATATATATATAGGCGTCATACCTTGAAATTTTGTATTTATTTAAATTTGTTTTCTTTCTTGCTCCGTATTTTTGTGCATTTGAGAAACAAAAAACAGATTAATTTAAATTGAATTTTAAATCATTCTGGAATGCCATGAGAAA